GCGCAATTTTCGTAAAAAGGGATACAAAGTTTTTGCTTCACGTATTGATCTATAGATACTAATTATAACAAGATTTTAATTTGTAATGCGTTGGCTTGTCCCTTTGTTACGGATTGCTTATCGCCGAATTACTTTGAGGACCACAACTCTGTGCTCTGAGGAATTGTTCGAGATGATACCGGCATCTCGTTTTTACCATCGCACCGCCCGCCACCGGAGTAGAGTTCATCCATACTACCTGGAGCCACTGCGGTCATCCACAGTGCGTTTCCAGAGGTCTTTTTTGCCACGTACCATCCGGCTATGGAATGAGCTCCCCTCCACGGTGTTTCCCGAGCGCTATGACATGTCCTTCNTTGTACTGATGACTTTTTATGTTCAAGTGACATTTTAAATTTATTCCATAATATTCTTTTTCTGACGAAAGGACCTAAATACATATATTTTGCAATGGTAATTAAACTTTATGTTTAAGTATTAAGGTTTATAATAAACTGAAGTCGTTAACATTATTAAACTTTTTTCTAAGAAATGAAGATGTTTTCGTGTCTGCAAACCTGGCCACTGGAGCGTCTTATTTTTGTTCCTGATCCTTAATCTAGTACTATTATTGATCGAAGGGAGTGTCAGTTGTTTTTATCGTAATTAAAAGTTTGGTTAAAATCTATGAAGAGTTCTACGAGTCACACACTCTTTTTGTCCGGAGATATGTCCGGCACAGATAGGTAATTTTTTTCCCTGCCTATGCTGATAGCCTTGAGAGGCTATTTCAGCGTAACCTTAACTAGTAGGTGAGCTCACGGGGCTCAAACCTGACGACGTTGCTAAGACGAGCCCTAGCAAGAGCCGTGCGTCGCAGAATCTACCACCGGATCGGAAACGCGACCCACTGAGAAAATCCGGCGAGAAACTCAGTGGGCTGTGTCTGTGGGGGTACAGATATATCGGAGGTGATTTATTATATCACTAGCTAAAGCCGCAACGTTTTTCGGATGCTGTCTTAATTAAAATATATAATTTAATGTCTTCATTAAGAAGCAGATGTAAATAACAATTATGAACATAATCCACAAAATTAAGAGACATACAACTGTAAGATTTTTTGTTATTTATTGCTTTGATTGGTGGACGAGCTCACAGCCCACCTGATGTTAAGTGGTTACTGGAGCCCATAGACATCTACAACGTAAATGCGCCACCCACCTTGAGTGAGATATAAGTTCCAAGGTCTCAGTATAGTTACAATGGCTGCACCACCCTTTAAACCGAAACGCATTGATGCTTCACGGTTGCTGAAATAGGCGGGGTGGTGGTACCTACCCGTGAGGACTCACATGAGGTCCTACCACCAGTAATTACGCAAATTATCATGTTGCGGGTTTGATTTTTATTACACGATGTTATCACTTCACCGTGGAAGTCAATCCTGAACATTTGTTAAGTACATATTTCATTAGAAAAATTGGTACCCGCCTGCTGGATTCTAACACCGGTGCATCGCTAGATCGAATGCACCGGACGTCTTATCCTTTAGGCCATGACGACTTTCAAAGTGGTTACTGGGGCCCATAGACATCCACAACGTAAATGCGCCACCCGGCTGGAGATATAAGTTTCAAGTATACCTAGTTACAACGGCCGCCGCACCCTCCCCATTGCGTACAGTGATACTCCTTATAAATTTAGTAACGTGACCTGGTGCATACACAGATTATTGACATCACTAACCCATGATAGAGCTATGTACAATTGAATCTGCGAACAGAGAAATCTACTGCCGCAGTGCTTAGTCCGTTAATGTCAGCCCTTGCATTTTATACGGTCATTGCGAAAACAGCATTAATTAATCCACAGACACAGACACACTAAGTTTCTCGCCGGATCTTCTCAGTGGGTCGCGTTTCCGATCTGATGGTAGATTCTGCGAAGCACTGCTCTTGCTAGGGTCAGTGTTAGCATCACTCCTGTTTGAGCCTGTGAGCTCACCTACAAGCTAAGGTTACGCTAAAATAGCCTCTCAAGGCTATCATCAGTTTGGGTTGCAAAAAAATTAATAAAAAAGCATTAATAGGCATTTGTACGCTTTTAAGAATGCCATTTTTTCCTACTTTTTTACAATTTATTACAATATAACAAAATATATCAGTAGAATCATATTACACAGGTATTTTAAAGATGAAATGGACTGTGTCTCTTCAACGTAATGCAGCCACTGTATCCGAAAAGGAACCTACAGTAATTTTGGCTTAGTGTCGTATATGTACCTTACTAATAAGTACTAGTAAGTACTGATAGTAAAATTAGGAAGTTTGGGATACCAGGAAAGATTTCTAGTATAGCATCATTTGCGAAAGCAGCGTGCGAATATAACAACTGCTTATCTTTCATTCCCGATCCTGCGGACAGAATGGAAAGCAGTCGACGTCGCCCCAAACACGTCATCTCGGATCCTCCCGATCCACTAACGGTGCTTCTAGGTACTTCAAGCACCGGTCACCGTTCTCGTCGAACCCGTCGCTTGCGACGAAGGGCTCGACGAGTAAATTAACTCCCAGACACAGCCCACTGAGTTTCTCGCCGGATCTTCTCAGTGGGTCGCGTTTCCGATCCGGTGGTAGATTCTGCGAAGCACGGCTCTTGCTAGGGTTCGTGTTAGCATCGTCGTCAGGTTTGAGCCCTGTGAGCTCACCTACTAGTTACGGTTACGCTGGAATAGCCTCTCAAGGCTACCAGCTCAGGTAGGAAAAAAAAAAAAAAAAAGGCTTATCTTGATCTATACTATCTATACTAATATTATAAAGCTGAAGAGTTTGTTTGTTTGAACGCGCTAATCTCAGGAACTACTGGTCCGATTTGAAAAAATATTTCAGTGTTAGATAGCCCATTTATCTAGGAAGGCTATAAGCTAATCACGCTAAGAACAATACAAGCGGAGCACCAATAAAGAATGTTTCAAAATCAGGTTTTTTTCGCTTTTGAGAGCTTCCGCTGCGTGCGCTGCAGAAACGGTTAAAGTTTCGCTAAAATAATGTATGAAAGAATTATTCCCCTTTAAAAGATCTAAAAAAAGTCCGCGACAGCATATGTCTATATGTTAAGGTTGACTCACTATAACATTTTTTTTGCTAAACAAATTAGTTCTAAAATAAAGCATTATTTGTGAACTATTCCACGCGGACGAAGTCGCGGGCAAAAGCTAGTATTTATATATTTGTTCTATGCGTGTGTTTGTCACTAAAGTCCTCCGAAACGGCTAGACCGATTTGAATGATTTTTTTTTGTAATGGTTTTGGGTGGCACCCTGAGTAGTTTAGATTCACAAAACAGTCCGACAGTCTGTATCTAGGTTATTTATCTTTCCTAGAAATAAGTTATACGGCAAAACAACGTTTGCCGGGTCAGCTAGTAGGCATTTAGTGTATTTTTATATATATGTTTCCCAATGATCGTAACAGAGCATGGCTGAATAACTCCAGTTAATCCCAATACATAATTACGACTCTTAATTCCCTATTAAGAATTCACAAAGTCCGGCTTTAGGAACAGGATTAAGAGGTGTGAAGTAAGGATTAACTGGACACGTGTAATTATGAATGGAGAACAATGTGGGGGTGAGACACGAGTGCAAATTGATGGTTAGGTCCCAAAATTCGTTATAAACGAATGACCGGTTAAAATTTTTATTTTTATTCCTCAGATACGTGGACGACCTCACGGCCCGCTTAGTGTTAAGTGGTTATCGAAGCCGGAAAATGCCGCCACCAACCTAGAAACATGAGGTCTAAAATCTCGGTGCTTTTTGCAATAAAACAACTGCCCCATCCTTCAAACCGAAATGCATTACTGCTTCACGACCGAAATGGGCAGGGTGGTAGTACCTAACAAGAGGTCTTACCACCAATTGCCATCAGCAAAAAGCTCTTGTTTCACCATGGTATTTTTTTCGTACTAAATTGGATATTTGACGATCCTTCTGGTCGATCGGCCTGGTCGAGATTTTAAATCTATTGATCTTCTTAGCTGGTATTGAGAATTGAACCGTTTTTCTATCGTTCAATTGGGAGCTTACGGCACATATTCTGGTGTTAAATTAATTGAGAGTCTAGGTTAAACTGGTCGGGTTAGACTGGAAAGAGATCTTCGATCAGAAATTTAAATAATATAAAACACGTGGTGAACATCTTGTGTGAAAAATTATTAATGATGACAATTATGACAAGAATGCCTCAATTTTCAAATTGTAATTTAATTTTCTTCAGTCTTTCATTAATCTTCAAACGTAGTCATCCGGTATCTCCGGTATAATTACTTATGCAAATATTTTATTACCGTTATAAGCTTAGCTAAAATTAAGCTGTCTTAATTTGTTACGGATTGCTTATCGCCGAATTACTTCGAAGACCACAACTCTGTGCTCTGAGGAATTGTTCGAGGTGATACCGTTTTTACCATCGCGCCGCCCGCCACCGGAGTAGAGTTCATCCGTATTACCTGGAGCCACTGCGGCCATCCACAGTGCGTTTCCAGAGGTCTTTTTTGCCACGTACCATCCGGCTATGGAATGAGCTCCCCTCCACGGTGTTTCCCGAGCGCTATGACATGTCCTTCTTCAAACGAGGCTTGTGGAGAGTATTAAGCGGTAGGCAGCGGCTTGGCTCTGCCCCTGGCATTGTTGAAGTTCATGGGCGACGGTAATCACTCACCATCAGGTGGACCGTATGCACGTCTGCCTATAAAGGCAAAAAAAAAAATTCAACTCTGAATGTGGGGCGCAGTCAATTCTTTAATAAACAAGTACAATACGATGAATATCTTTTTTTTTTTCATATCTCCTCCCAACCTCCCACCTCCCCATAGCTACCAGCAACCGTCACGATGCACAGGTGATTGGGCCTGAAGGAGGCTGCCTCCCACACACGATCACTAAAGTGGGTAGTCGCAGTTTCAAGGATTGCCTTATTTAAATCGAATTAAATTTTAAATGACCGCTCAATTTACAGATTCTGGGAGCGAATCCGGCTCTCACAAGAGTGGTCGGGCGCGGACCACAGCGGCGGCCGACGGTAAGCCGACCCGAGTCCGGACCGTGCTGAATGAAAAGCAACTGCACACGTTACGGTAAGCTCTCGTTTCGATCCTTTTCCGGTGTGCTCACTGCGAGTATTTTAACGTTCTCGATAGCGTAAAAGTTAACTCATATTCGTATGGAATGGGATCGCTTGCGTACGTTTGCCGCTAGGGGCGCTGTTTTAACTGCATACAAAATTGGGTTAACTTTTACGCTATCGAGAACGTTAAGAAACTCGCACTAAGCACACGGCACACCCCAGAGCCCTGAAACTGTGATACTTAAGACAAATATTTTTTCTGTATTGAAACTAGCGACATCTTGTAGCGGATGCCCCTAAACTTTAATGTCGTTAAAGTTAAGGCTTTTCATTATGGTATAACTAAACACGGAAAATAAATAATTAATAAATCATACAAGTCTATATTTTATATATAGAAAATTTACAAAATCCTTCATTAAAAATAAAATATAGGATAGTTAATATGTTACTGCCATCTACAGGAGCAATGAGAAACTAATCTAAGCGAAGCCACCTAGTGGCCCACGCCCGTAAATAATTTTTGTTGAGTGGTTGAGTTGCTTATCCATAGCTAATTTATGTGTAATATCTATGGCACACCCTCCAGAGCTACGTGGAAACCAAACCTATGTATGGCCTTTGCTAATCTTGTGACGAGAAGTAACAAATATCCTAATGTCGGTCCACTTAAAAGCCTAGTATTAATTATCAGCTCCTGTCTATCTTTAGTGGCGCAAACTTGAGCATGAATTATGTCTTAAAAATAAAATACTGTAAGCTCATAGGAATTAGTATTAATAAAGAGCAGAGTAGTATCCATGCCAGTATCTAGGAGTTGATGTTTTATGTTTGTGAATACCGGTTCCCACTTTAGCAGGCGGGGCGGAAGCTTATAATCCCATAGAAGGCAATAAAAAAAAATACTTTTTTAATTCGTTTCAGGACTTGCTACGCCGCCAACCCACGTCCGGACGCACTGATGAAGGAGCAGCTCGTGGAGATGACCGGCCTCAGTCCAAGGGTCATCAGGGTCTGGTTCCAGAACAAACGGTGCAAAGACAAAAAAAAGACGTTGCAGCTCAAAATGCAGATGCAACAAGAGAAGGTCAGTGGAGATTTCGTGTATGTGACTTCGATTTTATTATGTTTACATTTGGTTTTGTTGAAGTCAGTTTAATTGTTGGAACGAAGTCCCTTACGGCAGGCTTGGAGGAGATAGGGATTTTGGTACGCGACCGAACTGAAAAAATATGAGATTAAAACCGTAAGAAAAACATATAACGGAAGTGCTATTATATTATTATAGTCTCATACACAAGCGAATACCTTTCTCTTTCTCCCTCTTTCTTTCTGTTCACTCATCCCTTCTCTTTCTGCCCTCACTCCGCCTCGTCAATACTTATAAATTCATTTACAAGCAACAATGTACATGAAGTTATTCTCAAAGCACGTGGTGTATACTCACATTATAAATTCATTTTTCTCGTAAATACATACACGCAATAAACACGTTTATTTTCATATTGATTTTTAAATTATTTATGTAATTTTATGTTGTCAAAAAAATAAATAAAGGACATGTTTTTATTTGATTTTACTTGATAATTTGAATTACGATTTTTTTGTTTGATTTATTTTATTTTACGTTGTTTTTTTTTATTATTGCCCTAGCAGGCAGACGAGCATATGGCCCACCTGATGGTGAGTGGTTACCGTCGCTCATGGACGTCACCAATGCCAGGGGCAGAGCCAAGCCAAGAGAGTACTTTACGGTAGGCAGCGGCTTGGTTTTGGCCATTGCTGAAGTCCATGGGCGACGGTAACCACTCACCATCAGGTATGCTTGTCTGCCTACAAGGGTAATAACTAAAAGCGTCCAGTGCAAGTGTTGAGTGTGGGTGTGTCACGCCAGGAGGGTCGGCGGCTGGGCTACATGTCTGTGGGCGTGCCGCTGGTGGCGGGCGCGCCCGTGCGGCACGAGGCCGGCGGCGCGCTGGAGGTGAGCTCGTACCAGCCGCCCTGGAAGGCGCTGTCCGACTTCGCGCTGCACGCAGACCTGGACCGCGCGCCGCACCACTCAGCCGCCTTCCAGCACCTTGTCAACCAGGTACCCACCACTACCGACATGCGCTTCATTTACAGAATAAGTGTCTCCATAAACGATTGTGGCGTCTAAGAACGCACCTTTTTATGATGTGTAAGCCGGAACGCACGAGAGGTGCGAAAAAGAATATAGTCTGTGAGACGGGACCTTTTTACCGCCAAAAATTTAAAACGTAAAAAATAATATATAATAACTAATATAACATAATAACTCAGAATTGTTTATGCCGTTACAACAATAAAATTTATATTGTTTCAACTGTGGTGTTAATGACATAAAACACGACTTTACGGCGAAATAAAGGAGGGACTCTATAATGGACTCCCTCACAATGTTTTTTCTTGGATGCTTTCGTTCAACTGTTGTATGCGTGTCGCCGTCTACAAGTAGATGAAGCCAACAATTTCATACCTTGTCTCTTCGGCAATCTTGGCGTATTTTCGCCACACAGACAGGTACTATTACTGGACGATTTCCAGACTAAAAACCACGAAACTAAAACCCTGCAACTTCAAAGTGCGCACAAGGATTTTGTTAGATTGTTCTACATTAAAAGTGCTATAAAAGACTACATTGAACAACATGAAGTATTGTTTCTAATGACGCAAGAAAAAAAAGCTCAGAATAGAAATAGAGGGAGATCGATACGAAAAATAAGCTAATAAGGATCGATATTGAGAAACTAGTAACAATGGGTTAAACAGACTACGGGCCCTTTTTTTATTGCTTAGATGGGTGGTCGTCTCACAGCCCAACTGGTGTTCAGCTCACTGGAGACAATAGACATCTACAACGTAAATGCGCCACCCACCTTGAGATATAAGTTCTAAGGTCTCAAGTATAGTTACAACGGCTGCCCCAACTTTCAAACCGAAACGCATTACTGCTTTACGGCAGAAATAGGCAGGGTGGTGGTACCTACCCGCGCGGACTCACAAGAGGTCCTACCACCAGTACATACTGCCATAATACGAGGATAAACTGATGACAAACCGAGGTCAGCTTAGTAATGTTTCCGTATCCATTTCAGATGCACGGGTACGACGTGCCCCCCCTGCCGGCGCCGCGCGGTCCCCCCGGGGGCGAGGACCATTACGTCACGTACCTGGAGAGCGACGACAGCCTCCCCCCCTCCCCCTAGTGCCGCCTCACCTAGTCCCCCACCGGGACCGGGACACGGACTTTACTCGCGTTCATTGAACTTTCAAATGTTTTGGTGCTTGAAGAACCTCCTTCTGCGGTGAACGCGTTCGATACCATCACGTGGTGCTGCTGATATTACTTGGTGATCTTCTCAACGACAATATTTCGTCTGGCAACTCTGTAGACAAGTTCGAATGTGTCCTTATTAAAGTTACAAAAGTGTTGTTCAATGTGCTTAGTGAAAGTTTCTTAACGTTCTCGATAACGTAAAAGTTAACTCAAATTTCTATGGAGTTGGAACAGCGCCCCTAGCGGCAAACGTAGGCAAACATTCGAACTCCACACAAATTTGAGTTAACTTATACGTTATCGAGAACGTTAAAAAACTCGCACTTAGTACACTGATTGTGCAAACGTTGTCACCTATCATTTGTTCAGGGTGACCAGGTTTTGATATTGTTTCTGGTATATATTTACAGCTATCTTTGATTGGAGGCCCACGATTTGTGTCCCGTGAGAAGATGAAGTATAAATTGTAATAAATGAACGCGAGATATAATTATAATGATTACAACACGTAACTAAGTTATAAATAAGGCATATCTTAAAGAATAAAAATGTACATTATAACGTAAACGTATGCTTAGTTAATTGTGGCCGTTTTCCAAATTACAACACAAGAGCGCATTATGCGGCATAATGCTCAACTAAGCTTCAGCATAATTCGGCATTGTGCGTCACTGAGTCGCATTATGCTCTGTAATTAATCATTACTTATTGGTAGTTTTCCAATCCGCATAATGCGCTCTTGTGCTGTAATTGGAAAACGGCCTGTTTGTGCGGTGCGCTGTCGGGCAGATGGTCCTTCGAACAATCTAGTACAAAAACTTATGAACGAGATCCGAGTTTGTTAGTTTCAAAAGTGAAATTCACTCGTAACTGAGGAATTGAACCCGGTATGAACAATCTTGTTGTATTTGAGAGATTTGAGCTTACGAGACGACAAGATGAGATAAGCTTTAAACAAAATTAAATTGCAGAAGCGCATGCAATCATTCCTGCGGGAAATACTTACTTGGCGATCGAAATTTTAATACGTGCAAGTTTATTTAAAACTTATGGAGGGTAGGCACAGCTGCCATAAGTGCCATACCTACTTTTTTATTACCTACCTATTCGTAAATAGCCTTATGGGCCATTCCAGCTACGTTGGACGGGTAGATGAGCTCACGGGCTCAACTTGAGAGGATTTGCTAACACTAGCCCTAGCAAGAGCAGTGTTTTGAAGAATTTACCACCGGATCAAAATTGCGACCCACTGAGAAGATCCGGCGAGAAACTCAGTCAGAGACCTTAGAACTCATATGTGGTGGCTGGCGCATTTACGTTGTAGATGTCTATGGGCTCCGGTAACCATTTAACACCAGGTGGGCCGTGAGCTCATCCACCCATCAAAGTAAAAAAAAACTCATCAAAACAACGCCATCATAGCACGTGGCAATATGAATGTAGCAGTTGTAAACGTAGTAAAGTGTGCCGAACTGATAATTCTAATACAATAACTTTTGGCGCCATCTTTGGAACTTGTTACGGTGGTGCCACAATAATTGGCCATTTTTCAACGGATACTCTTCATTACATAGTAAAATACTAAAAATACACACAAAAATATCAGTAGTTGCTCACGTGGAAGACAGATGGCGCTACATTCGTACGTAATCGCAAAATTTGCCGCGCTTTTGAAACTAACCCACTCCTATCTTTAACGGCCTTAATACGGTTCGTTTTATGTGATGTTTACCATGGCTTTTCGTTTAATGATTAATTTACCGTATTTTTATAGATCTGTTAGGGAATGTATATAAACGTGTGTAAATAATATTGTATAAAAACTAACTGTAAAATATGTTTTAGTTGTTTTAATGTAGTGAAATATAATGCCTTGGATTCTATTTGATAAATAACGATTAATACAATGATGTAATCTGTGGTCACTGACATTGTTAACATTTTCTACACAATGTTTACCTCACAGTTCTATAATTTTTTGTTGTGTATTATTTGCATTATTTAATGAACAACACTTAATCGATTCGTATAATTTTACATCTTTTCACGAATGACAGTATCCAAAACAATAGTTTTGACAATATCCGAGGTGATAACTTTTTTGTGCTTACACCGATATCTATATATGTATGATACGTAAGATTTTAAATCAATAATTATCATTTAACATCTAAGATTATGTTTCATTAAGCGATCGCAGCATATTTACATTGTATAATCTGTTTTGAAACTTGATCAAGTGAAAACGATTTTCAATGTCTTAGAACTTCGTCAGACTAAAACATTCAAGTGGGTATAACACGAATGAATCATCCTCTTTTGCTAAATGATCTAACAAATGGAAGTTTCGGTGTAATGCGATTAAAAGTTTTCAACGAGACCAAATATAATGATATCATAGACAATTTTGTGAACATCACATCCCTATTTATTTATTACTTCTAGCAACCTTTTGTACAAAAGTCAAATGTCAGATCTCAATTATTATTTCAATGTCAAACTCTCTTCTTTTTTGCCAATCACTAGAACAATGCAAGGCTGCAACAAACAAAAGTTATTGTTACAAATACCCTCTGGATTATGTATGTATCACAATGTTAATTTATTGTAGTTAGTTATAAAATACACTGTGCTTAGTATTGTGAGCATATTAAATATTAAATACATATTTGAGATTTCATTATTTGGCCTTTATTCCATTCTTCATTTACAAAACATTGTCAAAGCATAAAAAAGCAGAAGTACATGGTTGTTTGTTAATTCTAAACAACTTTATCATTGTAAAACTGAGAAAAGTCAACAAATGAACAATCGCCAATAACGTAAGCGATGCCTTTTTCTTTTCATTACCAATCTAGTTTCAATGTATTCCTTATGAGACCCCGTATACTCCTAGGGATACACGAAACACAGGCTGGGAATCGTTGAATAATCTAATATAGAATAATCTAGATCAATAAAGTACTATTTTTCTGCACAAAAAACAACTTAACCGAAAGCAGTAATCGTAAGTTTATTGCAGAGTGGCGTGGTATCAGCGCGGAGCGACGCCATTGCTGACAGAACAGTGTGCGAGCTTTTTAACGTTCTCGATAGCGTAAACGTTAATTCAAATTTGTATGCGGTTGGAACGTTTGCGTACGTTTGCCGCTAGGGGCGCTGTTCCGACCGCATACAAATTCGAGTTACCTTTTACGCTATCGAGAACGTTAAAAAACTCGCACTAAGTGCTCTGAAAGACAGAACAATAAAACACGCAAAGCGGCTTTTGCCACAGAACGGAACAGCAACATTTAAAAATATACTTTATTGATTGAGTAATAAGGTTGCTAAGGTTGTAAGGTCTCACTTTTAACAGTACAACGGCTGCCCCGCCCTTCAAACCGAAACGCATTACTGCTTCACGGCAGAAATAGGCGGGGCGGTGAGACCTACCCGCGCGGACTCACAAGAGGTTGATTGGGTTGGGTTTGATTTTTATTACACGATGCTATTCCTTCACCGTGGAAGTCAATCGTGAACATTTAATAGGTACGTATTTCATTGGAAAAATTGGTACCTGCAGGATAATGGCACAGTAAGCAAAGGTTAATCCGCGCCTTCGCTGAGCAAGACAGGACCGAAGGAATCGTTTTCATGAACGCGGCAGCCGTAAGCGACAGTTATCATCTTCATGTTTCAAAACAAGAGAGATAAATTTTGACATTAGACAAACTTAGGTCTTGTATTAAATTGATCATAGATCATTGGAGAAAATGCAATTTCCTTATCCAATTAATTCCAGGGTGCCGTATCTTTTTTTAACGAAAACCCTCTTTTAATCTTGCCCAGATAAGACGACCGGTTTTCACTCAACTCACTCACTCACTCACTCAGTTTAAATAATGTTTCATTAGAAGAAATCCTAGAAATTACAAATCGAACTCTAAAGTTTCTCTCAATTCTCTATTTAGTACCAAAAACCGATGAATTGACTCAGGCTGCTTTGCAATCTAAAATGTAAGCGATTTCGTTTTTTTTTCCTACCTATGCCGATAGCCTTGAGAGGCTATATCAGCTTCACCCTAGCGTGTAGGTGAGCTCACGGGGCTCAAACCGGAGTGGTGCTAACACTGGCCTTAGCAAGAGCAGTGCTTCACAAAATCTACCACCGGATCGGAAACGCGACCCACTGAGAAGAGAGAATACATATTATTGCACACCAACACAATTTATATAAAAAAAAACAGTCATAAAGCAGATACATTTGTACAATTGGCGGTCTTATCGCTAAAAGCGATCTCTTCCAGACAACCGTTTAATTTACAGAAATTCTGGAAAATATAAAAATATAGTAGGGATGTTACGGTGTACCACAGACAATACATTCTTATAGAAAATATATATATACAATAAACAGATCTAAACCGTTTACATACCATATACCAATATACATATAATATATACCAATATACATACTTATATACAATACATACTAATATACTTACACACGCATAATAAATCAACAGTATGGAAATGATAAATGATAATGATGCAAACAAACAGCACTAAGCAGATAAGTAGTGTTCCTTCACCAGAAGATCCGGCGAGAAACTCAGTGGGCTGTGTCTATGAGTTAAGCGATTTAGTGCTCGCCTTTCAAACTTTTCAAATTGATACTTTAGTTCAGGGTCATTATTATTCAGTCCAAAGAAGGAATATACAAATTGGACACATCACAGGCTTACTTCCATCTGAGCAAAGCAGTTTCACAGATGCTTCTTGCATTTAATTTACAAAACATGGCTTCTTAAAATCACTTAACTATCCTTTAATCTCCACACGGCTCTAACAACGTTTGCAACTTTAACAAATAGGTATAGTACCTACTATAATACTTATGTAGCAATGTGTGAGAATTCTGATCTTTATTTTCTTCTAGATCGCAAAAATGTTCCCGCTTCACCTATAAATATGTACTCTAAGTATTGGCAAATAAATTAAAACAGCTTTAACACCGAAGGCATAGGCAATAGGAACAGCTCATCTCCAATTACATATCGATACTTTGAGTTTAAATATTAAGTTAAATAATGGCTATTTTCCGATTTACACGGCGAGCATTGGTGGGTATGACGTCATTTCAGTACAGATACTGCGAAGCCGTTCCTTTAATACTGGTTCTATTTAAAACGGAACCCAGTGCAATATACTGGATACAGTACAGCGACGTTTTTTGGCGTTGTTTTTACTTCAACAAATAAAATTTTGTTTAAATTTAGTTATGTTTAAAAACTGAATATTTGAAATATTTTTTTTTTATCGCTTAGATGTGTGGACGAGCTCACAGCCCACCTGGTGTTAAGTGGTTACTGGAGCCCATAGACATCTACAACGTAAAATGCGCTACACACCTTGAGATATAGCTCTAAGGTCTCAGTATAGTCACAACGGCTGCCCCATCCTTCAAACCGAAACGCATTATTGCTTCACGGCAGAAATAGACGGGGCGGTGGTACCTACCCGTGCGGATTCGCAAGAGGTCCTACCACCAGTTTAGAATAGAAATATTGGTTTTCAAGCAATTTAATCACCGGTTTATTGAAATGAGGGGTAAAAGTGATCACGTGGTCAAAGCACTGAGATCACCGGTGTTCGCGGTAGAAAAATGGCGACGATTTATAATGTCTTATATGGATGATGATGTTGTCCCCGAGACCACTGCGACTATTATATTGTCAGTCCAAAACGAAAGGAATTTTGACCCCGTGATAGCACCGCAGTGTAAATTGGAGCATAGCTAATGTCTATGACATTGAGTAATGGTCTAGTTACGTCTAGTAGTTTATTGGATCTTTTAGTTATTCCCATATTCTATATTCCATAGCATTGTTCGGTGAAGATCGTTTATCCCATACGCATTAGATCTATGCATGTCCACTGTACGAATGAAATAATGCCAAAAACAATTTACCCACCTACATGGGTACAATGCCGATAAGACCTGGTCCTAGTCGATAAGAGTATAGCATTAAGTGCAATAGATAATAAATTGGTGTGATTGAAAATAAACAAAAAGGTGCATTCTAATAATAGGTGACTTAAATAGAAAGATGGTAATTGAACAAGATGAAAGTGATAGTTTTAAACAGAGAAAAGGAATTGCTATGGTTTGTTGTTGTTTAACTTATTATTATCTAACATTAACCGAATCGACAATTTATTTTAAGGTTATGAAGTTCATTGATAAATAGTAAAAAAATTCTGAGATTGATTGGCAAATCTGAAATACAGAGATTTTTATTTGCTTCTTTAAAAACAAGATTATATCTGATGATTATATTGAGTCATAAACTTGGGGAATTGCTGTTTTAAATTTTAAATGCTTGATATGCTTAGCCAGGGTTTCTATCATAATATTTTCTAATTAAAAAATTATAGTTGTTACCTCAGACCCCTATAGCCAAATTACTTTATAAATCCTATCTCTAATTTCTCCCATCGATACAATACTTACCAATTTAAAAACTTTAAGGCTGATTAAGTAAACAAACTTAACATTAAATTTTCTCATCAAAATTTAACAAGAGACACAATATCCATTAAATAGTTAAAAGTACAAAAAGATACTTCCTTGCCACAATACCAGTCTGGGAATCCTCATTCTACATGATTTAACTAAAATCTGTGTGGCAATTCTCTTTACTTGCAATAAGTGACTCAGAAAAGGATACCTACAAGAAAGAAATTATTCAGGGAGTTGAGTCAATGGTGTGAAGATTTTGATCAATAAATAACTCAATTCATAAACTTAAATGCAAAAACAACAATATATATTTTACTGGTTGTAGGCTGGTTGTAAGTTAATTTGTGTAGGTACCACAGCCCTTTATATCTTTACTGTGAAGAAGCTTTTACTTCAATTTAAAGAGTGGGACAGCTGTTATACAATTCAATCAAGACTGGAACCTTATGCCTAAAGTGGGTGGTGATATTGAGACCTTGTAACTATTTAACATTATGTTAGATATGAGTCTATCGATGCACCATAGAAAAAAATACTAGAGTGCTGCTCTCATTGGAATACAGACTGAAAACTACCGAATCATACAGCAAATGACACACATCACAAAGAGATGCATGATCATAATTTGCTCAGTGTATTGTATTTTCAGGATATCCTACCAAAATACACTGGTGTGCCAACAGATGATGAGATTAAACCAAAAGAAAAGCCTTGGCAAAGGGTAAGAACACCAATCGATGAATAAAAATAAAACACAATCTGGAAGACTTAATGAGTGGTAAATGTAAATGGTAAATGTTTTGTGATACCTGGGTGTGAAAGGTCTCGGCGAGATGACTACTAAGAGCAGTGGTGGTATAATATCAATGTATTCGATCAGGAAAAACAAAAGATAAATGAACCTAATCATTTTGTGAATTTAATCAAGTTTCTGCTTATATATGAGTCGACTATTATCAAAGCCGGCAATGTGACTTTTGGACAATTATCGGTAAATCAGAAAAACGAATTATTGACTTTGTATTCCATTGGCAGTCACAAAACTCTTCTGAACGACATCTTAGATAAATAACAGGTTAAGTATTAACCTTTNCAGAAAAAAGAATTATTGACTTTGTATTCCATTGGCAGTCACAAAACTCTTCTGAACGACATCTTAGATAAATAACAGGTTAAGTATTAACCTTTATTTAATGCAGGTTTTGAACCGTATTCTTTGAAGGAGACGATTATATTCAAATCAATCTGTATTGACATATCAATAACATTTTTTTGTCCAAATGCACAGATTGTCACCTTTGATAATAGGCGACTCATATGGAGTAAAAAAAAAAACAAAAAGTGCACAGCTATTCGTAGAGTTGAAGTCCATTTATGCCACACATTTTATCTATTTCTGCTAGTAAGTTTACCTTAAAATGGTGCGATCGATGTTAAACAATACTTAACTGTATATATTGTATCATACATTGATATTACAACTCAGGATAATTTGTATACTGAAACAATATAGTTTTGTTCTTTGTGCCCTTGTTATACCTCATTTTAGTTAGTGAGTCACTAGCAATGTGTTGTTGTTTCTGATCGTGGAATTTACAATTAGGTTACACCCATTAATTACTAGATCCCCTGATATAGTTTGGTAAATGAAGTCTTTGTATCTGCTCAGATAAATTGTGGCATTTGAATCCATAATTGATATGTTTCTAAAAAGTTAAACCCAGATGTTATCAGTATAGTATTAATATGGTGTAATAAATTGTAAATCCGTTAAGATACTGTCACACTTAAAGCTGTCAGGTATCTTTATTGATATTTTCTGCGAAAAGTGTTTCAATTACTTGTTATTTTTTTTAATTTCCCTTGTAGGCAGACGATCATACGGCCCAACTGATGGTGAGAGATTAGCGTCGCCCATGGACTTCAGCAATGCCAGGGCAGAGCCAAGCCGCTGCCTACCGCTTAATACTCTTCACAAGCTTCGTTTGAAGAAGGACATGTCATAGCGTTTGGGAAACACCGTGGAGGGGAGCTCATTCCATAGCCGGATGGTACGTGGCAAAAAAGACCTCTGGAAACGCACTGTCGATGAACGCAGCGGTTCCAGATAATATGGATGAGCTCTGCTCCGATGGCGGGAGATGCGGTGATAAAAGGGAGATGAGGGGATCATCTCAAACAATTCCTCAGAGCATTCCCCATGGAACATACGGTACAACTTGTTACTAACGTTTTGTAGGTCTAGACTGTCCCAGGTAGTTTTAGCGTCCATTCTCTATGTGATTAGGCGCCTTACGGAGTACTGTTATGTTTTTGAAGTGAAACTTCTCTAGGCGCGTTGAGAGTAAAATTTAACTCGCGACAGATTCGTTACGGCTAGAGAGAAAAGATACAATTTAGGAAGAGCGTGAGTGAGAAAATAGACAGAGCGTCTAGACCGTGGAGAGGGAAAGGATAAAGCGAGCTTTGTACACAGCATTCCCTATTATAAGTGAAAATTGATTTAAGGATGAATAATTAAGAAAACCACAATACTACAAACCACAAAAGAAGTTTCACTTCTTTCACGTGCACCAAGTTGCACGCGCACCATTTTTTTATTTCCATTGGCTACAGACGAGCAGATGGACCATCTTATGAGTGGTTACCCTCGTTCGTGGAAATAAATAAAATTGTAAGCGTACCCAAGTCACTCTGTACTGCTGATGGTTCCAAATTTAACCACGTCTAAGTATAATCATGAATTGAAGTTAATTGGAGCTAATGGGCGAAGGGCGAAATAAGGACCTGAATATCTAGTGCTCTTCAGCTCTGTTATCTACGCCTATCAGCGTATGATCACAATTCTAGCTCGGTCTCGGTAGTCTAAGCGAATCTTCCTATTGCGGTAATGTAGGGTCCGCTCGAAATATACGGGTCTCAGCAGGAGCGTGACGCAGCCTTTGCCCAAAACACGTCATTACGGATCCTCCCGATCCATTAACGGTGCTTTTAGGTACTACAAGCACCAGTCACTGTCCTCGTCGAACCCTTCGTTTGCGACGAAGGGCTCGACGAGCGAATTAACCCATAGACACAGCCCAGTGAGTTTCTCGCCGGATCTTCTTAGTGGGTCGCCTTTCCGATCCGGTGGTAGATTCTGCGAAGCACTGCCCTTGCTAGGACCAGTTAGCATCACTCCGGTTTGAGCCCTTGAGCTCACCTACACGTTAGGGCGAAGCTGATATAGCCTCTCAAGGCTTTCAGCATAGGTAGGAAAAAAACGCAGCCTTAATATGAGCACAATGTCAACTAACTGGCAGGCAACGCTACTTTATTTCCGTTGGCAAGGATCTATCACACCTTACGAAGCATTTTCATTTCAATCACTACTAAATTATTTTGTGATAATAATAATTCTCTAATCACACATATTACAGTATAGATGTCGCTAGTTTGTCGTTAAGTTGTTTAAACACGTCGCGTTTCTAACATTCAAAACTGCCTACCACAATCCCCTAATTATCACTTTTTTGTCGTGGACTAAAGGATAACACGTCCAGTGCATTCGTATATAGCGATGCAACGGTCTTCGAATCCCGCAGGCGGGTACCAATTTTTCTAATGAAATACGTACATAAAAAATGTTCACGATTGACTTCCACAGTGAAGGAATAACATCGTGTAATAAAAGTGAAACCCGCAAAATTATAATTTGCGTAATTACTGGTGGTAGGAGCTCTTGTGAGTTCGCACGGGTAAGTACCACCACCCTGCCTATTTCTGCCGTGAAGCAGTAATGCGCTTCGGTTTGAAAGGTGGGTAAGCGCATTTACGTCATAGATGTCTGTGGGCTCCAGTAACTACTTAACACCAAATGGGCTGTGAGCTGGTCCACCCATCTAGCAATAAAATAAATAAATAAATAAATCACATTTCGATACCAGTTTGAAACTTATTAAGTGCTTTGAATTTTAACATGCTCCTTATGTTTATATCTTATCGTGGCAATATCTATGAAGTCTCCGGACTTAAGTAAATAGCACACAAAACCGTTTTATTTATTTCTAGTGAATTATTAATAATAAGGTAAGGTTTTATTTGTTAAATTAAGGACTTTCTAATTGTTATTCTTAAGAGTGTACACAATGTCAAACTTTAGTTCTTTTTTGTGGCCTAAATGATAAGTTTGCCGGAGCATTCGTATCGAGTGTTACAATTGCCTTCCACGATTTTGCTTCTACGGTGAAGGAATAACATCGTGTAATAAAAACCTGACCCGCAAAAATTTGCGTAATTACTGGTGGCAGGACCTCTTGTGAGTCCGCACGGGTAGGTACCACTGCTCTGCCTGTTTCTGCCGTGAAGCAGTAATGCGTTCCGGTTCGAAGAACAACTGTTGTACTGTAAAACTGGATTGGAACTCATATCTGAGTTAGGGTGGTGGAATTCACGTTGTCTTTTATGGGCTTCGCTAGCCAAATAGTGATGTAAGAATCAGTCACCATCCTCGTCGATCTCATCGCTTGCGACGAGCGAATTAACCCATAGACACAGCCCACTGAGTTTCTCGCCGGGTCTTCTCAGTGGGTCGCGTTTCAGATCCGGTGGTAGATTCTGCGAAGCACTGCTCTTGCTAGGGCCAATGTTAGCAACACTCCGGTTTGAGCCCCGTGAGCTCACCTACATGTTACGGTTAAGCTGAAATAGCCTCTCAAGGCTATCAGCATAGGGAGGGTAAGAAAAAAGAAAGAAAGTGATATATAAAAAATTGTGTGTGCATAAAAACATAACAGAAGCCACGTGTAATATGATATCAATAAACTTTTAGGTACTATACGAAATGTCGAGGAAAGGGAAACATTTGTACGAAGCAGTTGACGCCGTAAGTGTTTGCGAACTTAATCCCGGGTATATGTGTGTGTGGGTGTGTGGTCAACTTTTATATAAAGGGTGTTTTATTTTAAAATGTACTTTTTCGGTAGATTTTAAATAACTTATTAATTGAAATTGAAAAATATCTTTCTTTTTCTTCCTGTAAAATTTATTGCCTAAAATATGGTATTGTATTAAATGAATATCTACTTATTTCCTAAGAGCGAGTTCCCGGCCCACTTGGTGCTACCTAATTACTGGAGCTCATACGCCTTGTGATGTTAGTTCTATGTCTCAGTTTTTACAGTGCAACGGCTGCCCCACCCTTCAAACCGAACCGCATTACTGCTTCTCGCCAGAAACAGGCAGGGTGGTGATACCTACCCGTGCGGGCTCACAAGACACTGCCAGTAATTACGCTAAATATAATTTTTACGAGTTTCATTTTTATTACACGACGTATAATTCCTTTATCGCGAAATATTTTCAAATACAAATTTCATTAGAAAAAACGGTACCATTTTTTTACGTCGAGGAATCCATTTTACGGATATCCGTCACACGAGGCTATGGTAGGCCCCAGCCATACGGAGCGGCTGCTTAGTCGGGTCCTCGACGCGGTCACAATGGTGGCATTCCATCGTCGGTTCTCTGGACGACTTGGTGCAGCTACCGGCCGAAACACCATGGTCGGTGATCACCTGCGTCAACCGGAAGGTAGGACGTCCTCGATAGCGAATCACCCAGCCCGCGAGGACCGAGCTATGGTAGTAATTCATGAACATGACTTAAGTAGGTGTTTTAGTAGAAAATCGGTACTTGCCTACGGGATTCAAACACTGGTACAGTCGCATCGCTCGATACGACTGTAACGGGCGATCTTATTCTTTAGACCACCACTACTTCATTTGTTAACCAGCTATTGTTCCTAATGCCTAATTCGATGCTTACAAGTAACATTACGCAACAAGGGTCTATCATGTCGCAGGTAAAACTGGTATTATCATTCTATGTTCTCTATCTGCTATGTGCTTGTCTGTGTCTCAGTGCCAATCTGTTTGCATTCTGTGTCGGGCCATATACTTGTTATTTCCTAAACAGTAAATTATTTTTGGTCTAGTCTTTATAAGGTTGTTTGTTAAACTTCTTTGATATGGGAGGTGAAAGTCTCGATTGAGATATGAACGGTTTTCCCACCCTTCAAAACGGAATGCATTTTGTGACCAAATACGCAGCTATACTTTGGCTTAAAATACGTATGAATCTAACCTGAACAAGGCAAATTTGCAATTTAAATTATACAACTTTATGTTATCCCTTCATTATAGGATTCTTACGAACTCGCAATATATGCATATAATGTATTATTTTATTTACACATAAAAATTAAGTTTACTAGAGTGAAACTATAGAACAAATTGAGTTGCTCTATAAAGAGAAACAACATTTAAAGCTATTGCTTCACCAGTTTTTATGGTTTTTTTATATTTTACAATTCAAAAATGTTTTTATATTTTTTATGTTCCTTCTTCTAATATTTCAATATTCAAATTAACATTTATGTCACCTGTATAACATATTAACCTCTTTATGTCATAAATCATATATAAGACATCGAATTAAAAATATCTTAGCGAAAAATATAATTTACCACACCTTATTACTATTATTATTGAGAGCCGTCCCCATATTAAGACATGATTTACCATCAAACCATGATTGATTGACGGCAGAAATGATCTAAACAGCCCTCAGCCTCTATCCGTGATCAGATATTGGTCCTTAACGTATGAATTTCGGGCCTTTTTAACTCCGTACATCTCTTTTTCAGATACCAAGTCCGTATATAGTCCTGTTGTTGGGTGCATATTTCTTACTAGGATACCTGACGCAGCTGGTGGAAGATGAGTTGCCGACGCCGCTCCGAGATTCAGATATTAACCGAGACGTAGGATCGCTTTTATTGTTTGTAACCGGTTGTGGGATCAGCGTGGGCATTATCGCAACGGCTTTGCTATGGTCTTGTGATTTACCACGGATTAAAACTAAGATTATATTAAAATCGGCTGAATATCAACAGAACATTAAGCGGTAAAGAGATTCGCAGAATTGCAACTAGACAGATTGAGACCAAAGAATTGTAAATTATATGGAGACTGTAGGGATTACGTTTAGAACTTCCAAAGCGCTGTTTTGTGATTTTTAAATTGAAAATGCAGTTGTTCTCGCTGAGCGTTCTAAAATTAATAAAACGCATGCAAGGATTAACCTAGTAGAAAGGTTTTCAATTAGGTCAATCTGGAGATTAGTTACGCAATTTGATTACATATTAGTAAAGAATATTTTGAGCTGCTAATCATTTATGAACTGCGTACGAATATCATTCATCATTTATTTTGAGGGCTATCTTAAGTTGCACGCGGCGCCTGAGTGGTCGCACGTCATTGGTTCCTTGCAAGCGACAAGTGAGCGTGCGGGCTTGCAAACTTATGCATTAATATTATTATGCATAACAACTTAGCATTAGTAAAAATGCCAAAGAAAACAAGACTTGGAAACAAGACAGATGGGAAACGCTTCACACTGTGTGTTGTTGCGTCTCTTCTGGTGATGTACGTACCTGCAATGTTTTTGTAGACAACAGACAGAGTCAGCGAGGAGTCGTCGTGGAGATATCTATACGAGATAATGGGTGAGGAGCCCAGGGTCTGCGGCACGGAATACCATCTAAACAAGACCAGGGACATGAAGGCGATAGTGGACCGCATAGCTGTCAATGCCAACCAGAATGTTAGGACTGACTGGCAGATTGTCACAGGTAGCGTTGCTAGTTTAGGTGCTTCCGTAAACTGTCTTTCACCAGTCTCTGGCCCTCATAGACAACCTAAATGCCCCATTGATATATAAAATAAATAGTTTAAAAAACTAACCACGCTTTTATAGAAAATTCAACTAAAAAATAGAAAAACCGCAAACCCGCAAAATTATAATTTGCGTAATTACTGGTGGTAGGACCTCTTGTGGGTCCGCGCGGGTGGGTGCCACCGCCCTGCCTGTTTCTGCCGGGAAGCAGTGATGCGTTTCGGCTTGAAGGGTGGGGCGCCCGTTGTAGCTGTGCTTGAGACCTTGGAACTTGTATCTCGGGGTGGGTACCGCATTTGCGTTCTGGATGTCTATGGGCTCCAGTGACCACTTGACACCTGGTGGGCTGTGGGCTCGCCCACCCATCTAGGCAACAAAAAAAAAACGCCTACTTTTGGTATTTCGCTCTGAACTGCTTGTTTGAACAAAGCCCTCGCTTGCCGTAGGAGATTACTTCTTAAAGTCAGCGGCGCCATTTGTCAGCTACTACGACCGCGCCTCCAACATTGCAGCGCTGTTGGAAGGAGAGAGTGGTTTCCATGGCAACGGCACCATAGGCAGTTCGATCCTCGTCAACTGCCATTACGATTCTGTACCGTATGCCTTGGGTGAGTACGCTGAAATTTGCTTAGACTAATATTGTTGATTATAAGAACCTTTAAATTTAAATGTTTCTATAAGCTCCTATTGTCCTACTTTGGTGAAGAGCGCTGCGACTTTTGGCGGGAACGCGAGGATTGAAGTTGCGTGATTTGTTTTATTTTGTCTATTTAGTGTTTCTTCAGGTTTAAATGTGTAATAACGGTGGTTCATTAACTGTTTAATTAATATCTGTGAAAGTGCACAAATGTGGGAAAATGAAACAAAGCCGCTGGACTTAACTTCTCGAGATCCTCCAAAAAGTCAACTGGAAAAATCTCACCATTTTACTAAGATTATATTTCATCCTATATCATCTCATCTCAGTTAATTTAATTTCTTCCCAGTTGATTAATGTCCCAAATTAATCATCTTCATTTCATTTCATTTTACTCCATTTTATCATTTTTCATAAAAATAAGAATATAAATTAAAATCAGACGTGACCTAAAGGTCTTAGTTACCAGGTCATTAAATCCCTCAAAAAAAAAGAAGAGGGCTTCGGCAGCTTTACCGCCTACGGAAACTTAAATTTTTATTTATTGCTGCTGCGGGGCAAAGCCACGACGATTAAATGACATTTTTGCAACTTCACAGGAATCATTTAAAGTTTAAAATTTGGAGAAAATATCCTTGACAAAAAAACCTCTTCGGCTTTTCCAATGGGGTAAACATAATTGAAGCTCAATTAAAAACATCGAATTGTTGATACTAGTACCAAATAAAATTGATCTTTGATTAAGCTATTGTTATGTCGCACATTGAGCGAAATGTCGCCAACCAACCAAATGGCTTTTCATTCGTCGATTAAATATCCATATAAATGTTATGTTTTGGGAACAGGGGCATCAGACAACGTGATATTTTGCGCCGCGATGGCCGAGACTTTAGCGAGGATGTCCAAGAGGATCAAGAAGCTCAAACACAACATCATATTCCTGTTCAACGGCGCCGAGGAGAATCCTTTACAGGTGAAGCCTTAAGTCATGACAGGGACTGGACCGAACCTTGCACGAGGAGACGAGCTTGCAGTCCGCCTGGCAGTTTGGCCTTAAGTAGCTATCCACGGACGTTGCAACACGAGTGTCGCCACTCTCCTTGAGGCATGAGGCCGAAGTCTCAACCGGAGTATGTCGACTATCCCACTCTTCCAACTGGAAATTCCAGTTGAAAACATGCCAAAGCGTGAATCGTATACACGTCTGTCCATCGACAGCACTAATGCAAAAATGAGGGGATATCCATGAAGACCTCAATTTCAGGGTAGCCACGGCTTTCTCCAGCATCCTTGGTCTAAGGGTGTGACGACGCTCGTAAACTTGGACTCCGCTGGGAGCAACGGGAAGGCCACTATATTTCAGGTACTTATATTTTTATGAGGAACTGTTACGGGGTGGAGCAAGGAACTCTTTAAAAAAAAGAACACTGTGACTGGCACTGAGTTTATAGTACAAAACGATGTGTGTTTCCGATACTCAAGCCAAATCTGTTCTACCGCGCTTTAACAATAAATCGTCATTCTATAGAGACAATGCGGACGGAATGAAAATGAGGTTGTTAAGAGACTGTTAACTATGAATGTGGAAGGATTTAGAGGAAGAGGTAGACCTAAGAAGAAATTGATGGATTGTGTGAAAGACGATATGGGTAGGAGGGGAGTGAGCGAAGAAATGGTATATGATAGAAGAGTATGGAAGGAGAAAACAGGTTGCGCCGACCCCAGGTGACTGGGAGAAGGGCAGGATAATGATGAATGATGATGATAGAGACAATGCATTCAAGAATGCCTTAGTCTGTGTTATTATTTATATTGCTTTATTATTGAGGGGCATATGTAATAAAACCACTGCAGGAGGAGCGACACGAGAACCCTCTCGTGGCCGCCGGCAACTACATACTGGATCCTGCAGACAGAATGGAAAGCAGTCGACGTCGCCCAAAACACGTCATTTCGCATCCTCCCGATCCACTAACGGTGCTTTTAGGTACCTCAAGCACCGGTCATCGTTCAAGGGCTCGACGAGTAAATTAACCCACAGACACAGCCCACTGAGTTTCTCGCCGGATCTTCTCAGCGGGTCGCGTTCCGATCCGGTGGTAGATTCTGCGAAGCACGGCTCTTGCTAGGGTCAGTGTTAGCAACGTCGTCAGGTTTGAGACCCGTGAGCTCACCTACTAGTTAAGGTTACGCTGAAATAGCCTCTCAAGGCTATTAGCATAGGTAGGCATTAGCCTTTTAATAGTTTGTCTGCTACCAAATTTGTCCTCAGGTGACTGACCCGAGGATCCTGAGCGCCTACAAGGCGGCCGTGACCCGGCCCAGCGCTCAGAGCCTGGGGGAGTTCCTCTTCTCCTCAGGGGTCATACCGTCCGATACGGATTTCAGGATATTTAGAGACTTCGGAGACATTCACGGTGAGGGCGCGTCCGCACTTACGCGTTACAATTCACCACTATGTGGATGATGCGCCTACACATGCACTGTACCAGCTACATTCAGGGAATGAATGCCTATATAAACCCTGCCTATTTCTGCCGTGAAGCAGTAATACGTTTCGGCTTGAAGGGCGGGGCAGCCGTTGTAACTATACTGAGACCTTAGAACTTATATCTCAAGGTGGGTGGCGCATTTACGTCGTAGATGTCTATGGGCTCCAGTAAGCACTTAATAACAGGTGGGTTATGAGCTCGTACACCCATCCCGGAATCCTGATCACGCAGGAGCAATTCACCGTTGTCGCCCTAGACACGTCCTTACGAATCAATCAGATCTAATAACTCTTGCATTAGAGGCCTTCAGCTCTAACACTAGGAGCAGGCTGAGGAACCCCGGTAACCGTACTCGTCGAACTCGACAAAGAGGTCGACATGGAACCTAACCCATGCATCAGCTCGCTGAGTTTCTCGCCGGATCTTCTCAGCGGGTCGCGATTCCGATCCGGTAGTAGATTCATTCGTGAAGCAGTTGCTCTTGAGTTGTTAGGTCTCCTTCGGAGGCGCTGTGGCAGTTGTTATCCAATCCCACCCCTCCTGGCTGAGCCTTTGCTCGCCTGTCCTGGTGAAACTGGAAAGGCCTCCGGGCCACCAGTAAACATTCAATCATAAAACAAAAAAAAAATACTACACACATCCTAAGTTCGACCAGATTATAGTAGAATTATTTTGTCCGTGCAGTTTGGATCATAAAAATCGGAGCGGTGAAGCGAGTATTTCGCTCTCTCTTCCACTCACCATCCTTATGGACGTGCGTAGTGACGCGCATTATTGTTGTCCATAAGCATTATCGATAGTGTATTTAGTTTTGTCATTTTGTGGGTTAGTGATAAAAATGAAAGAAAAAATCACTAATCGAACACTTACACCACATATCGCCGCAGCAAGTTAACAAGAAGGGCAGAAATTAACATTTTGTAACTTATATGGTTGCCACATGCTGCCACAGTTAGAACGTCCATGAACTTTAAAAAATTAGAAATCTTGCGTTTCTTTGAAGGTGTTGACATAGCGTTCACGAAGTGGGGCAACCTGTACCACACCAGGTTCGACCGCCCGGAGTACATCCGGCCGGGCGTGCTGCAGTGGGCCGGGGACATGCTGCTGGGTCTCCTCACCCAGCTGGCTGACCGGGACGACATCGGACACAAGGTCAGCTTACCTTCGAGGTCCCGGAAGCATAAGAACATAGTCCCAATTGTGCCGGTATAATTGGTTCAAACAGCTTAAGCGCACTGTAAAAGATCAAATTGCTTGTTGAATTTTACGTGTTTGTCAAATTATTAGACAGCATGCAGCTTTGTTTGACGCGTTTTTCAACCAGTCTAGACTTTTTTGGCAGGAACGCGAGGAGTGAAGTTGTGTGATTTGTTTTATTTTGTCTATTTAGTGTTTCTTGTGCACAAAACTGGGAAAATGACACAAAGCCGCTGGACGTAACTACTCGGAATCCTCCAAAAAGTCAATTGAAAAAATTACCAGGTCATAAAATCCCTAAAAAATCAAAGTCTACGTGTTTGATAGAAATCTTAATTGACGTCGTGCTTGACAAACAAGTTTGAACGTGTTTGAGGGTATTTGTCAAACAAGATCTCAGTCGTTACTTAGTTACGGCGAGGAGAAAACTGAATCTACGGCAAGCTAAAAAACTTGTTTGATATTTGGTTTGATCGTTTAAGCCAGCCTTTCCCAAAGTGGGCGATAACGCCCCCTTATGGGCGCTGCAGGTCTAACCGGGCGGCAAGAGATCCAGGGAAAAATGGGGGCATTGTGTTAAGGCTTGGGAGGCGATTTGTAATTTCATCCAGGACTCTTAGACACCGACTAAGTTCTCAATATAGTTATAATTATAGGTTTATATATTATAATTATAGGTTTTAAGTAGGTGAAAAGATGGGGGCGCTAAAAAATAAGTTATTCTCAAAGTGGACAGTAGACAAAAAAAGTTTGACAAACAAATTTGATCGTTTACAGGGCGCTTTATAGATCTTTAGTAAAATCGTTTTGAAATAATGCGAACACCCCACATTATGAGTCTGTGGGATCCCACATGGGGCTCGATCCTGAACTCGTCTATCCGTCCCGTCGCCACTGAAGTGAGAGTCCCCCCGTGTCCCCCGTCGCAGGTCCCCCCTGTCGGCGCCGTGTACTACGACTACCTCAACTGGTTCGTGGTGTGGCAGTCGCCGGCGCTGTCCCTCCTGGTGGACGCCGCCGCGATCCTGGCCGCCCTCGTCAGCACAGCGCACTACGTGTGGCTCGTGGGGCCTCGTGAGTACTAGGGCCTGTCAGGAGTGTTCTAACAATGTTAATACTTTTTTGTTTTGAGCCCAATTAATCAATTAATTACCTATGTAATAGTAATAAAAAACACACATAAATGCAGATACACACATTCACACAAACACACCCACGAATAATGACCTTCTTAAATGATAACACCTAATGATCTCTCAACACTAGTCCGCAGCATCTGTTCACGACTTAACCAAACTCAATCCTATCCTAAGAAGGAGGGAGCAGCCTGGAGATCAGTAATACAGGACTTTGAACCTAGTACAGACTTCAGCTCTTTCAAAGGCTTACAAAATAAATTATAAGGTTAATTTCCATTTGTATTTGTCCTATACCTTTAAAAGAGAAATAAATAAATAAATTATTGTTAATTATTAAATTATATTAATGGCATACGCTTGGTCCTATACCTATACAATAATCTGTACTAAACTAGTATTTCTTTTTTATTGCTTAGATTGGTAAACGAACTCACAGTCCACCTGGTGTTAAGTGGTTACTGGAGCCCATAGACATCTACGAAGTAAATGCCGCCACCCTCCTTGAGATATCAGTTCTAAAGTCTCAATATAGTTACAACGGCTGCCCCACCCTTGAAACCGAAACGCATTACTGCTTCACGGCAGAAATTGGCAGGGTAGTGGTACCTACCCAAGCAGACTCACAAGACTTTCTGCCACCAGTATTACCAGTATGTCTTACAATTTGCAATATTGAGGTACTTGATATCCGGACTGGATCTGTAATCTTTAGACGCGTATCCATATGTCTCAGGGTTGTCAACGGTGCGTGAGCTGGCGTGCGCCGTGGCGGGTCGGGTGGCAGCCCTGCTGATCGGGGCGGGGGTGGCGGGTCTAATCACCCTGCTGATGGTGGCCACCACGGTGCAACTGCGGTAGGCCACACTCACTAGCCGGGGTACCTGTCGTCACTTGGTGTAGGGCTCTAGCGCAGCGGATGCTGGTACTTATGACGATTGTTAGGGAACCGACTAAAAATCCCTTTTCATAATCCACGCCATCTATCGGCTTTGTGAAGATTTACAACGCGCCTCCTAGTGGGCGAAAATATTGTTTTCGCAAGCTTTGCTAATCAACTTGTACGCTGTGTCCGTGTATCTTAAACTCCAGCTATCCAGAACAATGCCCCGGGGACCGAAGACCACAACCAATATTAAAATAACAAGCACTTTGTGAGCACCTTCCCACTTTTTAATCGGTTTAGTTTTCTGTGGGTCAAATTTATTTCAACAAACCTTGTTTATACAACAACGATAAAATAATGGGATAGAACAAGGGATGTCGTGACCCTGCGCGGCTGGGCACTATCCTGCCTCCTTCCAATTCGAAGAGTGAGAGCGTATACTTCTATCTTTTATTTTTTTTATTGCTTAGATGGGTGGACGAGCTCACAGCCCACCTGGTGCTAAGTAGTTACCGGACCCCATAGACATCTACAACGTAAATGCGCCACCCACTTCGAGATATAAGTTCTAAGATCTCAGTATAGTTATAACGGCTGCTGTACCCTTGAAACCGAAACGCATTACTGCTTCACGGCAAAAATAGGCGGGGTGGTGGTACCTACCCGTGCGGACTCACAAGAGGTCCTACCACGAGTAAAGTCAATCTCACGGCTCAAACAGCTATGTCTTAACGGCAAGATTGGCCGCGACCCAAATGACCCATGCAAGGCTGCGTCGCAGGTACCTATCTCGACCCTGGCTGGTGGTGGCGCTGTACTGGGTGCCGTATCTGGTCAGCGCCGTGACCGCGTCCCACCTGTATGACTCCTGGAGGAGCCGCAAGGTGAGATTAGCTCAGCACAGCGTGGTTTTAAATTTCGCTTAAGCCTAAGGGGATTTTTAAGCTACGCGTGTACCAGTAATTGAGCTCACGGGCTCAAGCTGAGAGAATTAGCTAAGACCAGCCCTAGTAAGAGCAGCGCTTCGCTGAATCTACCACCGGATCAGAATTGCAACTCCTGAGAAGATCCGGTGGGGAATTCAGTGGGCTGTGTCTAGGGGTTAGGTTGCGCGTTGACCTCCTCATCAACATTGACGAGTGCGGTGACCAGTGCTTGGAGAGACTAAACGTGGTGTGAGGGAGGATATTCGAAGCGACCGTAATAAGAGGGTTGGGGGGGGGGGCGTGTAGATAGCTTCAGAACAATTAATCACTTCGCATCATATTTCATGTAGCGACCAGCCTAGCCTAAGTTACTTCTTATATCATCACCTATCAGTGAAAGTCTCGTCAAAATCGGTCCAGCCGTTCCAGAGAGTAGTCGGAACAGACAGACAGACAAAAATTGTAAAAAAAAACATTTTGGTGTATGTACCGTACATATTATTTACAAACAGACACTCCAATTTTATTTATATGTATAGATAGACAAAATATTTATTTAAATTTGATGATTAAAGATTTTTATAAACTCGACACTGGCAACAATGGCGTCGCAAGAAGCCGATTGCCATCCTTAAAATAGAAAGAAGAAGAAATAGATGTTGACTGGTACATTCCAGAGCGGATTGAACAGATCGATTCGCACCTTACAAGCCATGACCGGCACCCGGGTCGTGCTGACAGTGCTATTGTCAGTGTCGATGTGCGTGCCGAGCTTGGCGACGGCGCGCTACGCGCTGAGCGTGCCGCTGCTGATGACGTCCGTAACGTCACTGGTGACGTCATCCGTCGTCCGAACCGTCCGCCTGAAGGGTGAGTGTTTTATAAAAAAAAATTGCCTCAAAACATTATCCAAGGTGAATCGATTTTGAAGATTTAAAGATTGTTTTGTTTGAAGGCGGTTGTTTCTCACGTTAGTCCATTTAAATATAAAGATCTGATCAGTTAGTTATTCTGATATCCTCAGAAGACATGTTTAATTGACTTGGACTACACCGATGATGGTCTCATTTGATTTTGTTGTGATGCTTTTTTGATCAACGACCATCATACGAATAAAGTACTAACCATTCATTAGTATTCATCACCGCTATCATTATAAATATCAAAAAACCGTGAGTACTCATGAGCACAATTTACGTTACTTTAAAAAATTACAATTAACCTTTCTAATTATTCACTTATGCTTTAACATCATCAAGAAGCTATTGATCAAGTGTGAGCACTCGTGAGCACACAACTTTATAACTCGCTTAACAACTAAAGACGACTATTCTTCGTAATCGCTTTACGAAAACCGCCTATGAACCTTGAGCATCCGTGAGCATAACGTTTGCAGCCTACCAACACCTAGTACTGGAGTGCGTGGTGTCGCTGCCGTGCGTGATGTTCACGATGAGCCTGGCGCTGCGGCTGAACGCTCTGCTGCTGCCCACGGTCGCGCGCTCGGCGTCTGCGAATCCCGACCTGGTCGTGGCCGCCGTCAATGTCGCCCTCGCCGCCGTTGTCAGCGCCGCCGTGGTCAGTGCCCAAACACTGTCATTGACATGCACAAATAGCTCGCTTTAACTCTCGTGTACTGATGTCCCACCACACAGCGGGGTCAACGGCCTGTGTGATAACTTGAGGAGAAATCGAGTAAATTAACCCACAGACACAGCCCACTGAGTTTCTCGCCGGATCTTCTCAGTGGGTCGCGTTTCCGATCCGGTGGTAGATTCTGCGAAGCACTGCTCTTGCTAGGGTTCGTGTTAGCAATACTCCCGGCTTAAGCCCCGTGAGCTCACCTACACGTCAAGGAGAAGCTGAAAAAGCCTCTCAAGGCTATCAGCATAGACAGGGAAAAAATTCAAACAATTTTATCTCTCATCAACCGAATGATCATGGTTCTATACTCTTCGAATATATTAGTGTTACTGTGTTACTTATAATATTTTGTACTCAAGTTTAACAATATTTGGTATGTGTATGTGCATTACTATAATTCTCATGTTGTATTTGTTATTTTAGTTATGTGTTATTTGTTCTACACACACTTATCACTTTTTATTATTATTCTCATTATCCTCTCGCAGGTCTGCTGGAAGAGATTTCATAAAGAAATAAGCAGTGCCTTTGTACATAATTTTCCTATTACTCTGTACTATGTCTTTTTTTTTCTGTGTGTACATAAATAAATAAATAAATAAATAAATAAAAGAAGAAAATATTTTCCTATAGCACCACTCATAAACAAGTATTGGTCATGTCTCATTCGCGAAGCAGCTGCTCTTGAGTTGTTAGGTCTCTTTCGGAGGCGCTCGGGCAGCTGGTAGCACCCCACCTGGCTGAGTCTTTGCTCGCCCACCTGTCTTGGTAAAACTGGAAAGGCCTCCGTGCCACTAGTAATCTTTCAATCATAAAAAAAATTGTCTTGCGGTGTAATGACGCACTTCGGTTTATAAAGCAGTAATGCGTTTCGGTTTGAAGGGTGGGGCAGCCGTTGTAACTATACTGAGACTTTAGAACTTGTATCTCAAGGTGGGTGGCGCGTCTACGTTGTTAATGTCTATGGGCTCCAGTGACCACTTAACACCAGGTGGGCTGTGAGCTCGTCCACCGATCTAAGCAATAAAAAAAAAAAAAAAAACTGTTGCTGGGGTTCGGGATAAATAAAATTTCACCAAAGTACAACTTAAAACTGTATTCAATACTTAGAACACTTAACACACTTCACAAACACTTTAAAATTCTCAATTCGCTTGTTCCGCTTCGCTTCAGATGATCCGTTCGCTGTTTCGCTTCGAGTAGTTCCGATTACTGACTGACTGCGTGCCATCCCTACAACGCTTTTATAGCCGATACCACATCCCTAGAATTATCGAGAATATTCCACACATCTCTAGTATTATGTTTCCGCAATCTGACAATAGATGGCGTTGTATTTCTCGAGCGTTCTAGTTGTTACTAGATCCTTCGAAATTCGTTCGACTATTCGGCGATAGATGGCGTTACTCTTACCGGCGTAACAATATTAATTTTCATTTCATTCATTTCATTTCATTTGACCACATCCCACACACTTCTAGCTACTCTCCATATGAAAATGGAAAGAGTTTCGGATCAATAACTCTTTTTTTTATTGCTTAGATGGGTGGACGATCTCACAGCCCACCTGGTGTTAAGTGGTTACTGGAGCCCATAGACATCTACAACGTAAATGCGCTACCTACCTTGAGATATAAGCTCTAAGATTTCAGTATAGTTACAACGGCTGCCCCAACCTTCAAACTGAAACGCATTACTGCTTCACGACAGAAACCGGCAGGGCGGTGGTACCTACCCGTGCGGACTCACATGAGATCCTACCACCAGTAAGATAACAGAAAACAAAATTAGTCTTTTATTGTTTATTCTTTCTGGAATACTCCGTATCATTATATCTATTGCTGTGTTATCGACGAGTGATTGAGACACCAAGTTATGTGCTCTCTAGTCCGGGGTGGAGCTACTGTTCTCGAGGCGGCGCCTGTGGCTGTCCCTGGCGGGGCTGGGCGCCGCGGCCGCCGCCCTCGCCCTGACGCCGCTGGAGCCCTACGCGGTCTCCGTCCCCAGCGTGCAGAGGCACTACTGGTTTGTAAGTGTCCCCCTGCACTGCGCTAAACCGAACCGTGTCAAAATAGCTATATTTTAATTATAATTAAAATTTATTTTCTATATTTTCGTTGGATTTTCTATAAAAGCGTGGTTTTTTTAAACTATAATAGTATTTATTATTAATTTTTTAGTTGAATTTTAATTTTTTCAATATATTTTTTTTATCAATTTTTCAAAACTTTTATCTGAATCAGTCGGTAGCTTATCCAAGAAATAAGTGATCCTCCGGGTGTCAGGAAAACAAAAAATCCCGATTATCCTACTAAGGATAACGGATCAAACTGTTAAATTTCGAGTTAATCCGACGTTTTGAAGGGGGTCAAAATCATGTCCAAAGATTCCGTTACATACTAACATACATACGTCTGAAGCTAATAAAAGCGTATTAAAAAGACAGTATTTATTTAGGCCAAAAGAAATTTCCTTTTCCATTCCGCAGCACACACAAATAACGACATATAATATAAACGGCGAACAAACAGATCAGACCACTGGAGTCTTTGTATCGAGACAGGACGCCTACACCACGGAGCGAGTGTTGCAAGCTCTAAAAACTAAAGGTATGGTATTGCCAATTTTATTATTGTATAAGACGGTACGGTGAAATTAATAATGTTTGACCTTGCACAGGGCTTGATTTAAACTTAATACCGCTTCTGAGCACCGGAAAAAAATCCGCCCTAATACTGGAATTTGACCTAAGCTTATAGCTTATATATTTTATTTTTTAAAATTAAAATAACTAATTTATTACGGAAACTTTATCATATGTCTTATATTCCAGAAACATAAATATTTGGTTTTTTTTTCTTACAATTATAAATTTTGACTAAGGGTGACTCATAATTAGGTATATTACATCCAAAAATACTTATTAAATTTCTTCAATGACAGAAAATAGAAAAATCGATTATTATTTGAAATATCCAAGGAAATAAATTGATTAAATCATTTTGATTATTAATTTTTACCATAAGTGCCAAAATTATAATTCACAAATAATGGATGAATGATGAATTTCTTGAATTATTAACAATTAAAAAGAATATTATTAATTATTTAGAATTAATTAATTACATTGAGCAATCTTGAGAAGACTAAAAAAAAAATATTTTTACTATCAAAAATTTGCCGCCCTAAAAAATTTGCCGCCCTAGGTGAACTTGCCGCGGCTGCCCCTAGTGTAAATCCACCACTAACCTTACAGGGATACACCTGAACACGCGGACTGATTTTGAGGAGGATTGTGAGAGGCACGTCTACTGCAACCTGCCGCTGTACAGGCCATCATTCGCCAGGAACCTGTGAGTCCCCCCGCTGACACCCCCCCCCCAACCTCCTACCCCCTACCCCCGCAGCGTCACACCAGTACCGCCATATGTTCCAGGGCTAGAGGCTTGTTCCTGTACACGGGGGGGCCCACCGCCACTGACCCCCCCGCGGGCCTGAAGCTGTCCTCCCGCAGCTGCGTTGGAGACACTTGTGTCTACAGCTTTACGATGACCGGTGAGTGCTCTATACGTACCTCTAGTAAAAAAATTTTTATTGCTTTAGGTGGATGGACGAGCTCACAGCCCGCCTGGTGTTAAGTGGTTATTGGAACTCATAGACATCTACAACGCCTCGCCACCAATCTTGAGATATAAGCTCTAAGGCCTCAGTATAGCTACAACGGCTGCTGTATCTTTCAAACCGAAACGCATTACTGCTTCACGGCAGAAATAGGCAGGATGGTGGTACCTACCCGTGCGGACTCACAAGAGGTCCTACCACCAGTAATTGCTTGAGGTCTTACCCACCCGCGATGCTTGTCTGCACAGGGACAGCACATAACCTGATAACGCTACTGCCCTCGGAGGGGGTCACGCTGACGGGGTGGACGCTGTCGTCCCCCGCGTCCCCCTCTACGCAGTGGGGGGGCAGGCCGCTCTACGTCATATTTCATTCGGTGGCCACCTACACGGAACCCTTTGAACCATTTGTCTTCAACGTAACTCTAAACGTGAGTAGTTTGATTTTTATTACACGATGTTATTCCTTCACCGTGGAAGTCAATCGTGAACATTTGTTGAGTACGTATTTCATTAGAAAAATTGGTACCCGCCTGCGGGATTCGAACACCGGTGCATCGCTTCAACACGAATGCACCGGACGTCTTATCCTTTAGGCCGCGACGACTTCTAAAATTATTATTATTTATTGCATAGATGTGTGGACAAGCTCACAGCCTACCTGGTATTAAGTGGTTACTCGAGCCCATAGAAGATCTACAACGTAAATGCGCCACCCACCTTGAGATATAAGTTCTAAGGTCTCAGTATACAACGGCTGCCCCACCCTTCAAACCGAAACGCATTACTGCTTCACGGCGGAAATAGGCAGGGTGGTGGTACCTACCCGCGCGGACTCACAAGAGGTCCTACCAGTTTATGGCATGATGATACAGGTGGGGGCGGCGCTGGGTGGTGGGGAGGCGCTGCGGCTGTCCCTACACGCGCACCGCCTCCACCATCCCCACCAGTACTCGGCGGAGTACGCCGCGCTGCTCCACTCCATGCCAGACTACTTCAACGTGGCCAGCATCCTCACCTTCAGAAACAACTACGTGTTTTGAACCTCCAGACGCCTCTCTCACAGCGTTTAGACTGTATTGCTATTTGTAAAATTAAAAGATATAATAAAAGTTGACTTTGATTTCTTTTTTTTTAAGAGAAACTTCTTTAGAATCGTTGTGATTTCAAACTCGATGAAACGAAAAAATAAGTCCATAGAGACACAAGCACATAAATGTATAGGATTCAGCCGCCGAGAGAATAAGATAGAACAGATTAGACGTTCTCAGTGTAGTGTTTTTTTTAATACAGCGCCATCTATGAGATTTTTACACTATACACTAATCGCTTGTGTATACGACTTACTTACAACTATTAAATTAATACAATACAATACTAATACTAACGTGTGTATGAAACCTCTTGTAGTGAATTTTAATTTAGGATTATACATGAAGTTAAAATATCAATTCACAGAGGGCGCTACCTCATATTATAAAAGATGATTTACAATTATTTACTACTATAAATGACAAAATTTTACATATACTTCGACATTTAGGATAATTGTATTTTAATTTTTGAAGGTTTCACTTCTACCACGTGTGAATTGCACACAAGTTTTTTTTTAATGATTCGAGTATTACTGGTGCCCCGGAGGCCTTTCCAGTTTCACCAGGACAGTTGGGCGAGCAAAGACTTAGCCAGGAGGGGTGGGATATGCTAACAGCTGCCCGAGCGCCTCCGAAGGAGACCAAACAGCTCAAGAGCAGCTGCTTCGCGAATGAATCTACTACCGGATCGGAATCGCGACCCGCTGAGAAGATCCGGCGAGAAACTCAGCGGGCTGATGCATGGGTTAGGTTGCACGTCGAACTCTTTGCTGAGTTCGAAGAGTACTGTTACCGGGATACTTAAGCCTGCTTCTAGTGTTAGAGCTGAAGTTATCTAATGCTGGAGTTATTATATCTGATGGATCCGTAAGGACGTGTCTACGGCGACGATGGTGACTTGCTCCTGCGTGATCAGGATTCGGGGAGTTTGATTTACCTCAGGTATTACTAATGCGGTATTACTAGTGCGCCGCACGCAATGTAATTTGAACATTTGGAAATCAGTTGTTGCGCAGGTCAATGACCCGCGGTATCTTGTGACGTCGATGCTCGCTTAGTTCGTGGAACTCTAAACACCATACGATATGGAAACGCGAATACTGGATCTGGAGCCTAGTCTCCTACTAGTGTGACTTTTGTGAGAAACTTTCTGAGGCGCGATACGAATATATCGGTATGTGACGCGCCTCAATGTCACAGAATTTACTGCATTTTAAATATTTTGTGTCCAGAGAATCGAACATATTTTATGGCCTTTTTAGAAATAGACTGTTATTTGGTGACCAGGGACCACAGGCGACCGCTCAACATGTCTATGTCTTGAATATGTTGCGGAACTTTTTTCCCGAGCTTTGATTTTATTACATTAGGTACATATTCCAATAAGATAAAAGGAATAATTATTGCTATAAACAATCTAAAAAACCCTAGACTGCATCAATCCATATTTCTCTGGGCGAATTTGATGGGCATCTTGTAATAAAAATCAAACCCGCAAAATGATAATTTGCGTAATTACTGGTGGTAGGACCTCTTGTGAGTCCGCACGGGTAGGTACCACCGCCCCTGCCTATTTCTGCCGTGAAGCAGTTATAGACTTTGGTTTGAAGGGTGGGCAGACCTTAATCTCAAGGTGGGTGGCGCATTTATATCGTAGATGTCTATGGGCTCCAGTAACCACTTAACACCAGGTGGGCTGTGAGCTCGTTCGAAACCACAATGTGAAGCGAAGCGCAACTGCACCTTTATGATTGTGCAATGTCATTGTGAACTAGAACATCAGTTATAAATAAAAGACAGTAAATATAAAAAATAATTTATTTTCACTTTAAATCGACTCAGTCTTTATTGATGTGACCCGTTAAAATATATATTTTATATAGTTTTAACATTTAAATATGTAAATAATGGAAATAATTGATACAACAAGGGTAAAGCAATGTAAGAACATATATATTATTTTATATATAGAAAATGTCACTAGCAGTTGTGACGTCACAATTCACCTTGACTTAGTTACATACACCCGTCCATTTTCTACATATAAATTTAAAAACAAAACACAATTTTATATGAATAAAATTCACCATTTTATTTTCGAGATCGTTTTATTTTATTTTATTAAGGTCATACCCATTCTACGCACGAACGTAAGATTAAAACAATTGCGTTTTTACATAATTTTTATTTTTTTTAATGCTACGAATAAACAAATAATGCTTAAAAAATATTCAAAGGAATTTTACAAAAAAAAAACTTCAGAGGTGTCAAGGGACACCCGGATGGAACGAAGTTCCTTTCGATTAATTAGTGAAGGAATTGTAATTTTTTTTTTAAGTTATAATAATAAATTACGGCATTATGAAGAAGAAAAAAACAATACAATGAACTAAATTACTATTGTTGAAACGCTATCTCGAGAAACTGTACTCATTACGCGGACCAATCGGATACGAGCAATGTCANTATTGTTGAAACGCTATCTCGAGAAACTGTACTCATTACGCGGACCAATCGGATACGAGCAATGTCACGCGATAAGCGCCTACACGTTGATTGGTCAGAATGACGGATCTAAAAAGTGTCGTGACAACTTTTCGTAAGAATTTTTTCCGTCTAGCCCCCTTTCACAACGCGCGATAAGGAACTTCGTTCCAAAAATCTGTCACTTAAATTTAAAAAACAAATCCCGTCTAAATTTAAGGAACACAATTCGTTCCTCAACTACTTTAGTTTTGCCAGAACACAAAAACATTTTCACTTGACAACATTCTTGAATGTATTTAAAGCAATTACACACAAAAAAACACTACCTACCCGGTAACAATTACGACAGTTATAACTGTGTTACAATTACGAGTAGTCTAGATTACCTTTACTTTTCGGCCGAGCCTCGGGTGAATAATGAAAATTAGCAAAGTGTAATTAGTTACGCCCTTATTTCCCTACGCAGTAAAGTTTGGGGGTAGAAAAGGGAACCATTCCCAAAATGAAGGCGCCTGTTTATACACACTCCTGCTAATGCTACACACGACTCGACACGCGGGCGACCAATATTCAACATGACAGTGCGTTTAGTGAGAGTTTTTTAACGTTCTCGATAGCGTAAAAGTTAACTCAAAATTTGTATGGAGTTGGAACGTTTTACTACGTTTGCCGCTAGGGGCGCTGTTCCAACTCCATACAAAGTTGAGTTAACTTTTACGCTATCGAGAACGTTAAAAAAACTCGCACTTAGCACACAGATACGGGATTTGTGAACCTCCCAATTAATTTTGCTCAACAAATTCATATTTCCTCGACAATGTTAAAATTTATTCCCCTATTCAGTTGCGAGAATAGTTCCCTTGTACCCACCCTATACTTATTGGTACATACATAATATTCGACATTATTGTTTCACTATTAAAAACTCAAGTTGCCGATATACACAAAATTTGAGCGAGTGGTTTTAAAATGGTAAAAATCTAATTAAAAAAAAAACATTATGAAAGTTCCGGATAATTATAATGTATCTACACTAAAATAGTATAAAAAAGCGTCGCGTGTTTCTATTTCGATAACATTTTAGTTAACTTGTACACTAATTTAAGTCCTCTAGGGAGAAATATATGGGCATATAATAAAAAGACAAATTTTAGATAAACCGAACTATTTTTAATTTAAATAGAAAAGTTAAAAAAAAACAACTATATCTAATTTAAGGCTATCAACGCTTTCAAAATGAGACTGTTTGAAAAATTAATAAATACATGAACCTTGTCTTCAATATTCATGACTCCTTTTAACACGATTGTTATGGAATAATAAAATGCCATCTCATTTACACGAAAAAATTTATATGAAGTGAAATCGATTTCTCAGTAGGTAGGTACTATTGATAAAAGACTAAGGAAAATGAGAGAACCGAATTAAAACAACCATATCACCGAGAAAGCATGTACCATTTTCCAACCAATAATCACAAAACATATTCATATGCGTATAAACTTAAACTATAATAAAACTATTATCAATATTAATCAAACACCAAACGATAAACTCAATTTAAATGCGTAAAATCGTGACGTAAAAACTACAATAAAATTAGTTGCTTACGACGTAAACGTACGAATTAAAATTCTAACTTGTCGTATACAGGGTGTATCAGACCCTACCAGATAACACTGATACTTTTACTTTATAATTGCCCAATTATTTAGTGTTCGCCCAAAAAACGAAATGCGACATTATAATTGAGGCCATAATGTTCATACTATAAAGTTGAAATTTTTCTTATCTCTCAATTTTCTAATAAAATATTTCCAATATTTCGATAGAGCATCAACAGAGGCGCTTGCGACAGAGTTGAAGTATTGCGAACCCAATAAAATAAAAAATCGTTTGTTTAAACCTGTTTCATGAAACCATTTATATTTGCATATCTAGTTGTTGACCCGGGTCTAAACTATAGCCACACGCACTACAATGCCCAATCACACTACGCTTTCATGAAACCTACAAAAACTACCCACATTGTTTGGTTTAGGCATTGAATGTTTTTTTTTTTTTTATTGTATAGATGGGTGGACGAGCGCACGGCCCACCTGGGGTTATTGGAGCCCATAGACATCTACAACGTAAATGCCGCCACCCACCTTGAGATATAAGTTCTAAGATCTCAGTATAGTTACAATGGCTGCCCCACCCTTCGAACCGAAACGCATTACTGCTTCACGGCAGAAACCGGCAGGGCGGTGGTACCTACCCGCGCGGACTCACAAGACGTCCTACCACCAGTAATAAATTTAAATAAAACAAATCTTACATAGCGATTTCCTCCAGTTTCGACTCTGGGCCTGGTCACAATACACCCTGTATACCAAACTATTTCTATATTTATTAAAATCGCAGTTGCATACTTGAATATGCGCACTTCAATCAAAGCTCGATGAGTTAGCAGTATAATAGTTCTGTAATTAATCTTTAAGACAAGAATGGATGGAGAAAGATCGTGCGTGCGAAGGTGATACAAAAGGGTGGTCACGACCCTCAGCAATGAGGAATACGACGCAAGGAGGAGGAGGAATTAATCTTTCACTGCACAAAATTGGCTGACCGGTTTAAATATATCGTTCGCCCATGACAGTGACATGGCCATCGGAACTGATGCCCAGTGGCCCGTGTCACTGGGAACTGCGCAGTAACCAGACGCACACGCGTCTCCACCAGTTCGAGCGCGTTCAGAATGCACTAAGACTCTTAAATGTGCTTGTATTGATCCAGTAATGAATGTTTTCGATATGCGAGGTCAAAAAATTGGGATAAAATGCATCTTTTTTTTTAAACAATACCTTTACACAAAAATAACTACTAAACAATAGTAATTCCTTAAATTGAAAACTCAAGCAATGGCGCTTGCTTACTGATTTAAGTACAACAAACATTGAAGCGCACAATTCTCACTAGTCAAAGTACAATGCACAAACTGCTCTGAAGTCTACATTGTTTGTTGTAGAGTACATTGACAACTGCCAATTTTGACATCTGTCACTGCTGGACGATTTTACAGAAATTTTACTAATTTTCTAGATGATCTCAACAAGATGCTTGCTTCTCTCAACTTCAACAATAGATAAAAAAATCATAACCTAAATAAATCATACAGTTAACTATAGTACTATACAGGGTGTCCCACAGTGGGAAGATCAATCTGAAAACTGTAGTGTTGTATAATATTCGATGAAAGTTTTCAAGTAAATAATTAGGGAATAAAGTGTTCTTGAACACTACGAACAAAATATTCTTCTGCCAGCCCTTGTATTATATTTTACATAATATACCGTAATATGATTAGTAGTAAAAATAAGGATGGCTACATATCAATTGTTGCGATTTTTTTATATATTTTTTATTTAAAAACGGTCACAAGATGTCAGCCGATTGAAATACGCACAAACACACCGCCGGCACCGCTGGCCGCTCAGACGGTATCGGCACATCAAACAGCTTTTTTTATCTTAGCAATTAATTTTAAATTTAGTAACATTCTCCGCGATAAGTATGAAATTTGTTTTAAATTTTCGAGCCTTATGCACTTATTAATATAAGAAATGATAGAGTTAGACAATTAAACACATAACAAATTCGTTTATCTCGTTCTGACAAGTTTAAACGAATGAAAGCCCAATGGAGCTTTTGGTTGTATAAATTCAGGGTTGTCATCAAAGTGTTCAAACAATTAATAAGTTTTTTTTGTATAAAACTACTAATTACGACTATGTAATAGTATATTTTTTTTTTTTATATTTTTAACGTGATATCCATTATTGATATCCTATAACCACTTTTCGGCTTGATATACCCATTATGGGACACCCTGTATAATCTCGAAGCACTGAAACGTTAAGTGAAGTGCTTAAACATTACTGGTTCAATACAATTGAAATAAAAAAAATAAAAAACAACTAACATTATATTTACAAGACGTGACGTTGTTACAATCAATGCTTCATAGGACACGTTTGAATAACGGTGACCGTTTGAGCTTGTTTGATTGGAGGGGCAGTTGTTTTTAACCGGAGTTTTGTTTATAGTCTTCGTTTAATTAACTACCAACACTATATTGTCAATGATTTTAGGCGCGACTTTTGAGAATTAGCGACACCCCCCCAACCCTCCTGCCCCCCACTTCTGTCACCATCGGACTAGGCGCAGCTCGAACGGTCACCGTCTAGACCAGCGGTCGAGGAACCGGGGTAAATTACCCGAAATGGGGTAAAATGAAACTTTTGTGAGTAAAAAGTATATATTGAAGTGAAATTTCTTTAGAATCGTTAAAATTTTAGTTATTGTTTGTCTTTTCAAAATTATCATGGGGGCTATAAATATGAAAGATGCTAAAAAGAAGCGATTTGGTTTTTTTTTTGTTCTTCGCCATGGTGTATTATATATTTGTTTTTTTTATTGCCTTTGTAGGCAGTCGAGCGTACGGCCCACCTGGTGGTAAGTGGTTACCGTCGCCCATGGACTTCAGTGATGCCAGGAGCAAAGCCAAGCCGCTGCCTACCATGCCTACCAATATCAACTTACACAAAAGTATTTTGGGGTAATAATTAGAAAAGTTCCCCGACCGCTGGTCTGGACGGTCGCGCGTCACTCTAGCAGTGCGACGGTGAGCCGGCTGGCCGCCACCATTTTGTTGTTAAATTTCCTTTTAAACATCTCCGCGGCTTCTTTGGTCTTGAACGTTATCTTCGCTGTGCGCTCTTCCTTATCCAGTACCAACGTCTGGAAGCAATCCGGGTCGTTCAGATAAACCGACAGATTCATGGTTATATATATATGTGCATATACAAGCCGTACTCGTCCGCTTCGCTGGGCATTTAAAATTAACATTATTATTTATTGTCATTATTATTAGTCCAACACTCATATAAATATTAGCTTATCCATTAAGTACATGTATTTTCTACATGGATACCAAGTTTCAAGTCAATCGGATGCACGGTTCAGTAGTTATAACGGAACATCCGTAAGAACCACTGTAGATTTATATATTAGTATATATTTACACGGTTCCTTATTGAACTATTATCCGATCGTATCGCTTATATAAATATATATATACAGATTTATATTAGATTTATTTGTGCACGTACACAAACCTACAATGGTTATTGTAGGTTAGAATACACTTTTAACCGCTTATGGCTTTAAGCTTGGTACAGAGTTCAATCAGTCACACATTCTTTGTGATTGTGTCTTCAAACAAATTTCAAATTGTATTTTCATTGGTATCATACGTGAGACACAATTAAAAATACATTTAAGGTTTAATCTAGTGATCATTGGTGACCATGACAACTGTTAAGTATACAAAACGTCAGATTTATAATAATATAATGTGATTACAAACACGAGCTTAATTTAGAACATTAGAAATGTCAGAAAAAAATTTAATGACCATATGAAAAACGTGATTAAACCGTAAAAGTATTTTTAATGAAACCTTTACATTAATGTAATATTTGTACGTACAACAATATTTTTTTATATATGAGTCGTCTATTATCAAAGGTGGCAATCTGTGCATTTGGACAAAAAAATGTTATTGATATGTCAATACAGATTGATTTGAATATAATCGTCTCCTTCAAAGAATACTGTTCAAAACCTGCATTAAATAAAGGTTAATACTTAACCTGTTATTTATCTAAGATGTCGTTCAGAAGAGTTTTGTGACTGCCAATGGAATACAAAGTCAATAATTCGTTTTTCTGATTTACCAATAATTGACCAAAAGTCACATTGCCGGCTTTGATAATAGTCGACTCATATAGAATATCTTTACATAGAACCTAATGTATATTTTTATATATAAAGTACAATGATATTAGCCATGATGAGATCAAAGCAGCTTATACATACTTTGATAGATACATTTTTACATACTCACATATCGGTAAATACATTTTGTTAATTTTGTTCAATATAATATTTTCATATTATAAGTATTTTTAAAGACATTTTAATAAACATCCTGCTTATGATATAAATACTACATCTAGTAACGTTTTGTACAGCAAATATAAATTAAAGTACATATTTTGTTATACAACTTAGTTACAACGGCCAACACCAAGACATTTCATTGCACATTATTATTATTTTCTTCATTAATTTAATAAAATACACTAATAATTCGTTTATTTTAAAATAGTACAAATAAATTTTATTTTACAACAAATTCTACAAAACGAACACGCATAAATTATTCAATATTAATTTTCAGTCTTAAAGAACAAAAATGAAAAAACGATAATATTCAATTTCATCACATATCACACATGATCATTATCTTCATAAAAAGGTACATAAATATATTTATTCAGTAAATGATTAGACTGTTTGTTTGTGCCGGTACCCAGTTAACATATTTAGACGCTGTATACATGGGTTTAACATATTTAGACGCTGTATACATGGGTAGTGAGTTCTGACCCGGATAGGGACTAGCGGTGGGGGGCACGCAAGACCCAATGTCGCCATTTCATTTAACTTGATATAAAAATATCTTTGAAGGAATTTCTTTGAGAAACGCCTTCAAAATGTTATATTAAAAATACATCTAATAGATATGTTCAGTCTTGAGCGACACAAGAATATATTTTTAAATAATAATAAAAATACCATTTAAATGTTATCAAATATTTAGACACCACATAATCAATTGAATTTTACAATACTGCATTATTATATTTCTGCCAAACTATTACAACAAGTTTATAACATCACACAATGTTGATATATACAGTGGTCGAAGTGACTACTTCGCCCGACGGTCCGGATTCGATTCTCGGATGAAATCCGAGTATCATTATCAAAGCTATTTGATGTCTGAGCATACTTGTTTCGTTTTTACATATCCGGCAAACATAACAAAAGAAAAAGTCTCTAATTGGAATTTTTGAATGAAAAAAATATTTTATTATTTTTTCTTTGGCAAAAAAAGGATAGCCTGTTGCATACTTCATACAGTCAGTGTACACCACGCAAGGTCTACAGGGGGTGGGGTTTGCTGACAACTTCCCCAGAACCTCCAAAGGAGACCTAACAACCTGTTGGGACCTCTATCTACCGGATCGGACGTCAAGAAACTCAGCGGGCTGATATATAGATTAGGTTGTACGTACAATTATCGAGGTCTTTAGATACTTAGGCTTAGGCCTGCGCTTAGTTTTAGAGTTGCAGGCGTCTAATAACAGTGTTAGTGGATCGGAAGGAACATTTAAGGTATTGTTACGCCGGTAAGAGTAACGCCATCTATCGCCGAATAGTCGATTGAACATCGAAGAACCTGGTAGCACCTAGAACGCCCGAAAAATACAACGCCATCTATTTTTTGATAGCGGAAACACAATACAAGAGATGTGTGGAATATTCTCGATAATTCTAGAGATGTGGTATCGCCTATAAAAGCATTGCAGGGATGGCGCGCAGTCAGTCAGTAATCGGAACTGCTCGAAGCGAGATAGCGACCGGATCATCTGAAGCGAAGCGGAACAAGCGAATTGAGAGTTTTAAAGTGTTTGTTGAGTGTTTTAAAATGTTTTAAGTGTTGAATACAGTTTTAAGTTGTACTTTGGTGAAATTTTATTTATCCCGAACCACAGCGCGTAACAGTATCAACGACACAAGACAGTGGCCCATCTAACCTTTAATGTTTGGTATAGTCCGTGGTCAGGCTCAGTAGCCGGCCAAAGACATCGACACTGTCGAGTGTTCCACAAAGCTGCTGATAGGACATCACAATACCTCACGCCAACGGTTTAAGGAAATAAGGGAGACTCCGCGCCGTTGGGAGGAACCGGTGTGAATATCAAAATTAATTATATATCACTTGTATTTGAATAAATCAGTATTGTAAAATTCATTACAGAAGTTACAGAGAAAACTCTTTATGAAAAGTATCAAAAAATCCACTTATATACAACATAGGCTCTACAGTAAGCTGTTTTAAACAACATAAATTACATTCAAAACTTATGTATTATAATAATACAACATATACAAATTACAAGTACTTCATATCATAGCACAACTTTACAATCAATTATTTATATATAAAAAACATGTTCCAGAATAGAATAATATTTAAATAATGTTACATATTATATTTATAGAACGTATGTATATAATGTATATAACTATTAATACATATTCTCTTGTCTATTGTGTTCTAGAAGAATTTAAAACATACAGATGAATTTATAGTATTTATCACATAAATTAATACACTAATCAATGGTCGGTATTAAGTCTCTCATTCTGTTATTTAAACATATAAAGTTTATTGACAATGCACTAATTATCTTCCCGACTAAGTTTTTACATATATATTTTATAGATTTAAAAAAATCTACTATATTCATTTGTTTTTATGCTAGCTTATCACAATCTCATCTAATTATCAATAATAACAGAGAATTTATATTGTTTAAAACAAATTACTCGACCAAGTTATAAAAATATTACAGATAAACAAATATTTCCATCTTTCTACTAGAATACAAATAATTAAGGCTGCTATATGTAACCATCTGGATAAAACTAATTTATAATGTACTTATTGTAGTGGCTACAATTATTTTATATTATAAATGTGATTCAGCATTCAAAACCGCGAATGTTTTAAAACTTGAATATAACTAATTTCATTGCGATAGATTTTCGTTGTCATGTTCAATAACAATGTCTGAGAATTGGGACTTGCTTAAAGCGGACAATGTCACTGACATTGGAGGCAAATACCGCATCAGTTACACGAGCGGTTTGCTTGGAGTACATGGGAGTCACTGACTGACTCGCAGAGGGTCATAGGTTCAATTCCCACATCGGACAAACATTAGTGTGATGAACCGATATGTTTGCTCGTTGTCTGTGTATTTATTGTCTATATACGTATATATTTAGACATGTACATGTAACTATGTAAACATAAGTATGTTTATCAATCTCTGGTACCTATAACACAGGGATCCTAAATTGAGGCCGGACGATCTTGCATGATGTGTTCCCAGTTATTAATTATTATTATTATTAGGGGTGAGACATCTCAGGGCGACTAATGTCCGAATGTCAAACAAACCGTATTTAGTAGTCGGTATTCGATGTTCTTATACGTTCCTAACAGTATACCTAACCTACCTAACAGTATTACTGGTGGTAGGACGTCATGTGAGTCCGCACGGGTAGGCACCACCGCCCTGCCTATTTCTGCCGTGAAGCAGTAATGCGTTTCGGTTTGAAGGGTGGGGCAGCCGTTGTAACTATACTGAGACCTTAGAGCTTCAAGGTGGGTGGCGGCATTTAGGTTGTAGATGTCTATGGGCTCTGGCAACCACTTAACACCAAGTGGATTGTGAGCTCGTCCGCCCACCTAAGCCATAAAAAAATTTAAAAAAATAGGAAACGAACGTTTCAGACAAGTTGATGATCATCTATTGTAACTCTTACGACGCGTGCGCGATTTTGAATGCCGCTATCAACACTGTTAATAGAGTACTGGACAAGTTTCAATAAACAGACGCGTTTTGTTACGCGTGACGTCATTCGTGGCCAAAACAAACGTGTAGGCCACAGAGCCTAAACAACATAGAATTGGCCGCACAAATGCCTTGTGGTCGGTGTTTAGTTTAATGCGACAAATTTCAATCATTAAAACGACTAGATTTTATTCGCGATTTCTGTCTTGTAATTATTGTAATTTAAATATTATGCTACATAATAATTATCAAACCAAACAAATTGATTAATATCAAACCTTGTCCGGTTGTCTATTAGTCTATTCATGAAAAGTTTATACTAATATCACAGGTTTCACACAGTAACTATATGGTATATAATATACATATCTGTATAACACAAATAATATTAAGACTAGTCACTTAACCCGATGTCACGTATGTTTTTTTTCTTCATTTATAATCGCATTAAAAATGTTTTCACGTCCAGAGCAGGAAGTGCCCGTATCGAGGTGGTAGTACTTTTTCTAATATGTTTATGGCAATTTCTAAGAGTCGCAGAAAACAAATTTGTATAATTTCAATATATTTTTTTTATTGATTTACTGAATTCAAAAGTTAATGTTTCTTTCATCTGATTAACTCTGGAATTTCTACAGTATACGCGAACTTAGATAATTTTTTAAATGCAATTTTGCAATCTCGTAAACATCAATGACAGCTGTCAAGCTGACATACGTCAAAGTTTTAGTGTATAACTAGTGTTTTTGAATATTTTGCCTTTTAAAGTAAATATTTTCTTATTTTTAAGTAAATATTCATATGAGTGTATTCGAGAGCTGACTACGAAAGAAATTAATTGCCATTAGCGCTCTTCCGGTGTTGCCAGTTCGCACATAATTTACTATCACATCAAGATTTTTCATTTCATTTCAATAATTTTACATATTATTTTACTTTGTATTTTTTATCTTGAAATACTGGCAGTTCCTAAATCCATCTATAAACATTAATCAATGCATCACCGAGGAAACTCGAAATAAAAATATATCTTCCAAAATGAATATACCTAATGAAAATCACTAAAAGTATTAAGATTCAAAAAATTTACGAGTATTCGATAATTGTTTCAGCTAAAAACATACGTGACAACGTAGTCAAGGGGCTAGCGTCGGAGCCCGGGGACTCCGCCCCTCGCGACATTCAGAACACATTTACCTGCAGCTGAGGGCCGGCGAGGGTCCGGATCCTGGTGTCGGTGATGCCGAAGGGCAGGTTGGAGACGGTGGCGGCGTGGGGGGCGGGCGGCGGGGGGTCGGGGGGGTCGCGGCGCAGCGCCCGGCTCAGCATCCCCAGCCCCTCCTTGTTTATCTCAATGCGAGGCTTGTCCTTCCGCTGCAGGATGACGCGGCGGTTCGAGAACGTTCTCTTGTCGTCGTCGCGGTTCTCTTGCTGCACACAAACACTACCGCGTTACTTGGGAGCTACTAAACACACACACTAATGGAAACTGTCCTTATATAGCTATTATTTGACAAAATTTATATTTCACTTTAGATAGGTATCAATCGATATTTTTTTCCTATGCTGATAGCCTTGAGAGGCTATTTCAGCTTCACCCTAACGTGTGTAGGTGAGCTCACGGGGCTCAAACCGGAGTGGTGCTAACACTGGCCCTAGCAAGAGCAGTGCTTCGCAGAATCTACCACCGGATCGGAAACCGACCCGCTGAGAAGATCCGGCGAGAAACTCAGTGGGCTGTGTCTGTGGGTTAATTCACTCGTCGAGCCCTTCGCCGCAAGCGACGGGTTCGACGAGGACGGTAACCGGTGCTTGTGATGCCTAAAAACACCGTTAATGGATAATCAATCGATTTGTGAGTCTTCTTTAGTAGACAAACATCGTAATGTGTGGCCGCCGGTTTTGAGACATGAGGTCGTGAGTGCAACGTGCGGTCGACGCTACTCTAGCCTTTAATCAGACTGAAAATATTTATATTCCATCTGTTTGACAGAGATCTAATAATGTAGCTTTTTAATCTTTACTGGTGGTAGGAGCTCTTGTGAGTCTTGTGAGGGGGAAGATACCACCACCCCGCCTATTTCTGCCGTGAAGCAGTAATACGTTTCGGTTTGAAGGGTGGAGCAGCCGTTGTAACTATACTTGAGACCTTAGAACTTATATCTCAAGATGGGTGGCGCATTTACGTTGTAGACGTCTATGGGCTCCAGTAACCACTTAACACTAGATGGGCTGTGAGCTCGTCCACACATCTAAGCAATAAAAAAAAGAGCTTTAACTATAAGTTTAATTTTCACTACGGTTCGAAAGAGTCCGACTTCACTGGGACAGGCCTCACCTCTTTAGTGTCAAAAACGATCCTCCGGCGGTTCCGCGGGGCCGCGCCCTCCGCCGCCTGCGCCACCTGCGGACACCACGCACTCGGTACAGGGGACGGGGTGCGGCATGTCAGCCCCCGGGTGCGGTATGTCAACCCCCGGGTGCGGCATGTCAGCCCCCGGTTGCGGCATGTCAGCCCCCGGGTGCGGCATGTCAGCCCCCGGGTGCGGCATGTCAGCCCCCGGGTGCGGCATGTCAGCCCCCGGTTGTGGCATGTCAGCCCCCGGGTGCGGCATGTCAGCCCCCGGGTGCGGCATGTCAGCCCCCGGTTGCGGCATGTCAGCCCCCGGGTGCGGCATGTCAGCCCCCGGTTGCGGCATGTCAGCCCCCGGGTGCGGCATGTCAGCCCCCGGGTGCGGTATGTCAACCCCCGGGTGCGGCATGTCAGCCCCCGGGTGCGGCATGTCAGCCCCCGGGTGCGGCATGTCAGCCCCCGGGTGCGGTATGTCAACCCCCGGGTGCGGCATGTCAGCCCCCGGTTGCGGCATGTCAGCCCCCGGGTGCGGCATGTCAGCCCCCGTCCGTTGGGCCACATAAAGTTTAACACACAGCCACATCGTTGTAAGTTTATTTTATACAACAGCTTAGGTTTTTTATTTATCGATTGAGGCACTACAAAGTCTGTCGAGTCAGTTAGTAGTTATTAATAAATCACTGAACCAATTATCCAACAGTATTATTAATGTTGTGTGCGTTTCATTAGAATACTAAATAAATTTAATTCTTAAAGACATAAATAAATAAAGTAAAAATGTTAATTATAACTATACACTTATATATGAACTGTCTATTTCTAGTTAGCTCTAACTTTGATCGATTTCAAGTCCATATTATAGTTTTTGAGTCACTTTCGTACGCGGCAATAGTGGGGGGGGGGGGGCGCTGAGGCAGCCACCAGCCCCGCTTCCTACAGCTACTCCACTGACGTGTACACACACGCCAGAAGTAAGAAATATTATTCCTGAAGGATTTAGTGTATTTTTTTTGTTTTATTTATTTATTTTATAGCTTAGGTGGGTGAACGAACTCACAGACCATCTGATATTAAGTGGTTATTCGAGTTCATAGACATCTACAACGTAAATGCGCCACCCAACTTGAGATATAAGTTCCAAGGTCTCAGTATAGTTACAACGGCTGTCCCCCCTTCAGATCGAAACGCATTACAGCTTCACGGCAGAAATAGGCCGGGCGGTGGTACCTACTCGTGCGGACTCACAATACGTCCTACCACCTTGAGTATTATCCTGCATGAGGGCTCGCGTCGCTCTGGGCCCGGAGACCGCAGCGGGCACTCACCTTAACGATCTTCCTGGGCACGACGTCAGCGGGCTCGCTCCTGGTGGACGAGACCAGCGGCTTGGCGGGCGGCGACTTGTCTGCAACACCAGACCGAGTGAGCCACTGAGCACAGACTCCACTAATCTTTACAGAGCGGATTATTTTATAGCGCCATTTTTATATTTTATTGAGACAGGCGTAGATTGTATGGGAGGTAGGCTTTACTGGTGGTAAAACTTCTTGTGAATTCGCACGCATTTACGTCGCAGATGTCTATGGGCTTCAGCAACCACTTAACACCAGGGGGGCAGTGAGCTCGTTCACCCAAAAAAAAAAGGTCACCAGTGGCGCCCAGAGAGAATTGCGTAAGGAATTAGAAAAATTCAGCATTTTTTTATATTTTTTTTTCGCTCATCAATACCGGGGGCAGAGCCAGGCCGCTGTCCTCCACAAGCCTCGTTTGAAGAAGGACATCTCATAGCGCTCGGGAAACACCGTGGAGGGGAGCTCATTCCATAGCCGGATGGTGCGTGGCAAAAAAGATCTCTGGAAGCGCATTGTGGATGACCGCAGTGGCTCCAGGTAGTATGGATGAACTCTACTCCGGTAGCGGGCGGTGCGGTGGTAAAAACGAGATGCCGGTATCATCTCGAACAATTCCTCAGAGCACTCATGCACCTAACATTATATTCCTTATAAATATAATTAAAAATGTGCGATTCTTCACTCGAATATTCAAGACTGACAATGGACGCCAACACGTCCAGTGGTCTATCGGTCTGTCTATATATACCGTTTTTCTTGTCGCCCCTGCCGTCGTTGTAGACGATCTTCTGNAAAACGAGATGCCGGTATCATCTCGAACAATTCCTCAGAGCACTCATGCACCTAACATTATATTCCTTATAAATATAATTAAAAATGTGCGATTCTTCACTCGAATATTCAAGACTGACAATGGACGCCAACACGTCCAGTGGTCTATCGGTCTGTCTATATATACCGTTTTTCTTGTCGCCCCTGCCGTCGTTGTAGATGATCTTCTGCCGCTCCTGCTTCCTCTCGGCGAGGGTGAGGGTGCTCCGCGGCGCCAGCTTGGAGCGGAGGTCGAGCTGGTTCTTGCTGGGCTCCGGTTCTGGCTGCGATCTGTTGGCGACAACACAAGCCGATATAGCCTCCCTCAGTGTGGTGACCAGACGTTACCCAATAGAGCGCCGTCTCATTTACTAATTCAACCTAATTATATTCTATTCTAGCCGGCTCGTTACAACACCAGCTGTGGTGAACTTCAAGATTGAATACAAGCTCATGGGATGTGATCGTTGGGACGGGGGACTTCACGGGTGGTACTGGGGTAGACTGGGGCTGGTAGGTGACTGCGCCCCTCCAAGACTATTGCATGTTAGTATAAATATACAATTGGCAATTCTAATTTTATCTACCGCGTGACATATCGGTGACAAGTTATCGTGCATTTTTTTTATTCCTAAGCTGATGGTCTTGAAAGACCAGCGTGAACGGGCGAGTAGGTGAGCTCACGGGGCTCAAACCTGACGTCGTTGCTTTTTTGTGCCTTGTAAACAAACGAGCATACGGTCCACCTGATGGTGAATGGTTACCGTCGCCCATGAACTTCAGCAATGTCAGAGACAGAGCCAAGCTGCTGCCTACCGCAACAGTAACGCGAACCCTAGCAAAAGCCGTGCTTCGCAGAATCTACCACCGGATCGGAAACGCGACCCACTGAGAAGATCCGGCGAGAAACTCAGTGGGCTGTGTCTGAGGGTTCATTTACGATGGCCGGTGCTTGAGGTACCTAAAAGCACCGTTTAGTGGACCGGGAGGATCCGTAATGGCTTGCATCGGCACTGACTTGGCCTTGAACCGTCCGGTGTCGTCGTCGTCGCTGAGGATCTCGTCGATGTCCTCGAGGATGAGGTCGAGCTCGTCGTCCGTGTCGGTGCGCAGCGGCGGCAGCGGGGGCGTGGCGGGGGGCGGGGAGGGGGACCCGCCCGGAGGAGGGGGGGTCAATGTCTCTGTGAAGAAAATTAAGTTTTTAAGATGGGAGTTAGATGTAGCATCCATCAGGGTAACTTAAGCTTTCCGTTTAACATGAACCCATTACTGGTGGTAAGACCTCTTGAGAGTCCGCACGGGTAGGTACCACCACCCTTCTGCCGTGAAGCAGTAATGCGTTTCGGTTTAAAGGGCGGGGCAGCCGTTGTAACTATACTGAGACCTTAGAACTTATATCTCAAGATGGGTGGCGCATTTACGTTGTGGATGTCTATGGGCTCCAGTAACCATTTAACACCAGGTGGGCTGTGGGCTCGTCCACTTATCTATGCAATAAAAAAAAAGGATGTAAAAATACATCAAAATTGTATTGCCAATTCTTATACTGAAAGTTACCGCTACCCGCTTTCAATATAACATTGGCCCACAATTTTTTTGTCAGTTTTGTGAGATTTGCACTCTGTGCTCATGCAAAATTATTGAACTTTCAATTGTAAACGTTTAAAACCCACGGAAAATCCATTTTTTTTTTATTAATATCCAGTAAAACTAAGACAATACATACAAAATTGTTCGCATGGCGGGACAAAGTTACCCAGATGGAGGGTATGCATACGTATATAACTTCTACTACTCCCCCACAAACACATCTGCTGCCTAACAGTACTGCTAGTATCTCCGCTGTGCGTGCGATGGGCTTGACGTCTCAAGTGCGGTTTCAGCAGTCACGCGTGACGTCATAGGCGGTTTTGGTTAGGTACTTGCCAAAAACTTTTGACATGCGCAAAATCCTCAAATATATATTGAACTCACTCTCCCTCAGTAATAGTTGATTCAGGAAAATTGTCTAATTTTTATGACCACTTGTTAGAAATACTTCCATTTGGTATAATAACTTTTTAGATAAAAACGTGTAAGCACATGTTTTAAAACATTCAATGTATTAAATAGTCAGTTATTTTCAATGTTAATAAATAAATAAATTATATGTCAACGTATGGCGTAGTCACAATTTCAAAAAATAATTAATACTGCATCACACCCGGCGAGGGGGGTGACGTCACTCACCGCAGGTAGAGTTGACCTCAGCGCCGTCGTCTCTGGGCGGGGTCCGTTCCTTCGCAGCCGGAGGTGGTGCTCTTTTTACAAGCTCGGTTTTCCTCTCTGGAGACTTCTTGGTGGTGTCCGGTTTGATTTCCTCTGAGCTGGTCGGCTGGTCCACCCGGGGGACCGGTTTGAGGGGTTCTTCAGATTTTGGAGGGGTCGTCTCTTTGTCTCTGCTATCTGCATCTTCCTTGCTGTAAAGATTGAAACAGTTAAAGTAAATCATAGTCTGATGTTGATGTGTACAAACATCACCCAACGGTGGATCCAAACGGTTCATTGTAATGCAATGTTATAATTATTTCAGTAAAGAACCTAGTGTCACCACTACCCCGGATCTGACGGAGCTAGTACCGAGAGCAGTCCCCACACCTAGCGAAAAAGCTACTTACCCGTTTCTAGTCTCGCTTTTTTATAAGGATTTTATGACCTGATAACTAAGACCTTTAAGTCATGTCTTATTTTAATTTATGAAATATTAGGTATAATATGTAGTGAAATGAAATGAGATGATATGTGATGAAATATAATCTCAGTAGTAAAATGGGGGTCATTTACTGAGATTTTTTAGTGGACTTTTTGGAGGATCCCGAGAAGTTACGTCCAGCGGCTTTGTTTCATTTTCCCACATTTGTGCACTTTCACAGATATTAAACAGTTAATAAACCACCGTTATTACACATTCAAACCTGAAGAAACACTAAATAGACAAAATAAAACAAATCACACAACTTCACTCCTCGCATTCCCGCTAAAAAGTATTTTTAGTTTTGCTGGTCGAAGGCCACCCCCGACATACCGGTGACCACCCCCCACACCAGGGGCCGCACCGACGGCCTTACTGTGTTCTCTACTGTTCGTTATTCATTACGTAGCGTCTAACAGCTGATGCAGTAAGGAACTCTACACAAGCATTCCAGAACAAACAGACACCCAAACAGAAAGCATTAGTGGGCAGGACTGGATCGTTCTCCGCTGGTCCCGCGCGAGTACCTCTGCGGCGGCTGACGACTGAGTGCCGCGTTCCTCCTCCTCCTCAGCTCCTTGGCGCGGAGCACCCTCTCCCTCAGGGTCTCCTGCTCGCGAACCCGGCGCTTGTACTCCGACTCCTGCAGAACATAACCAGTGAGAGCCAGCTGATGGGGAGAAGTTAGCGAGCCAACGTATGTAGTACTAGTGGCGATACGGTACCTCGTCGTTGTCCCTGGGCCGCCGCGGGGGGCTGCGCCGCGGAGAGGGGGGCCGGCGTGGAGGGGACGGAGACCTCATCCTGAATACAACATTTATAGTTTACAAATAGATCGACAACAATTGACTGTAATTTTGGTCTTGAATTATTTGTGGAAGTCTAGAGAAGGTTTAAAAGGTAGAAAAATATGAAAATGCTCGGAATTAAGTAAAAATAACAATTTTGTTTTTCCTTTGATGTGTCCCCCGTCGGACGTATGTTTTAAGTTTATTTTATACAAAAGTTTAGGTCTTTTATTTATCTATTGAGGCACTACGAAGTCTGCCGGATCAGCTAGTATAAATTAAGTATAACCTCGCGTTTCTTTTGTTCATATAACAATTTGAGAAATTAAAAATATATATTATCTGAGACGAACGGACGTGCTTACAGCACTTCTGATATTACGCAGCTATCAGAAATATTACTCTTTGTATATTCTGTAGAATGATAGCTAACTAACCGTCTCCTCAGGCCAGCTCTGTTGGCATTGATGAATTCCTCCTGCCTCCTCAGCAACTCCTCGTCCTCCCCCGCCCTCCCCCTGCCGCCGCCCCACCCCGGATTCTGCGCTAGCTCATTCTCGATCTCTATGGTAGTATTCTCGATGTACCTGCGCAATATCGACATTTAAGGACATACTTTAAAATAATTGATATCGACCGCATGATCTAGATCACTAAGTTTTTATTCTTCCTGTGTTTCAGATCAAAGGCGGCTGGACGTCTGGTTACAGTGTTTACAACGGTAACCCCTAACCCCTCGGATTCCGACTTCAGGGGGGACCTCGTGGGAGGTTCGACCCCCGGTCCATTAATAAAAAAGGTGGGGGGGCGTACCTCTGCGGCGAGCGCCTGGCCTTCCTGCCGGCGGCCCGCGCCAGTGCGTCCCTTTGCTCGGCTATGAACCTCTCCGCCGCCTCGTCAATGTCCTTTATCGGACCTGGACATAACAAATCATTAACACTACGTCGAGACATTCAAACAGACACGTGCAGTCGAGTGCATGCTAATACTTAGAAGTGGTGCTTCTGTGAATAAGAATCTGTGAGAAGTGATACTTCTGTGAAAGCCATTGCTGCAAACAAATACTATAGTGCGATAAAAAGCATTATCAAAACCATTTTGCAGAGTTAAACGTAAGGCTATTAAGTTCTACTGAATGTTCCACCACGTCAAAATATCATTTTTCGCCAGCGTCATTAGTGCTGGAAACATACCCACAGGACACAACTGGGCGCGTCTTTGGCCGATGACTAACCGATGTAGCTTCGATCATAAGTTAGAAGTGGAGCTAGAGACGTAGCAGTTAGGGTTCACCAATCACTGAACTAATTGAAAATCGAATAAAAGGCAATTTGATATGAATATTTTTATAACGATTTTTAACGCACTATAATTTAGTAAATATAATAAATAATAAGCCAAAAATAGTGAGGCGCGGGACAGAGTCGAAACGGGTCGCGTGCTTACATTACAACAACTAAAGTAAATCTATATATATATATATATGTCGGCGCAAATATGACTATTTACCTACTGATCATCAACTAATTACTCTGTGATAAGAAATTGATGTTAAACAGTCCCTTTTATTGTAATTTCAATACTTTAAAAACTTGTAAACACGCTGACGTGTGCCAAGCCCTATAAATACGGCCGTACTATCCAGCGCTTAGTCATTCGTGTCCGAGCCGTAGTACAGTTCGGATCTCTCTGTAACGTTGTTATGCTTCTCGTGCAATATACGCAGTTCTCGTGAAGTTTTGTTTTGGAAGCCCAAACATGAGTCATCATCGAGAACTTAATGACCGCGACGTCAACAATGCTGACGTCACACTTTTTAAAAAACATTCCTTCAGCGTTTCTCCTCCGTCATCAGAAGTGGGATCACATGCCGCCTCCGCTCAGCAACAACCTGGAGACCATTTAACCATATCGGCGGAAGAAGACTACCCTCCAGCAACAGCCGATGAGCCTATACATCTACTTCACAAATCAGCATGGTCGAGCAACAAAATCAACACTCAAAGATAAGTTTTTATTTTTGANATAAATAATATTAAATTTTGAACAAAATTACCGATTTTTAACCACCGCTACAAATGTTGGCCAAGGCTCGGCCAACACATGGACAAACTTTTGCTTAACAGAACAGTAAATGCATGGAGTAGATTTGTGTTGTAATAATTTTTCGAAATTTGTTAGCAGTACTTCAAAATTAGTTGGTTAAAACTGCTTAATGCTGCTTTTGTCTCTGTTTGTTGGACTCTCATTAGATACTTAGCTTTCCATTTTTATTTTAGCTTTCCTAGCAATCACGTGTGCAGAATGGATCTCGATTGTCGCCAGAGAAACAAGAGATGACTTTTATAAGCCAGCTAAGATCTCCGCTCATTGACACTGGACATCTTTGCCTTCCGTGCTCACGACTACTAAAACGTGGCCGAAACATTGTAATAAAAATACCGCGCTTGAAACCGTTTAAACGTTGTTTTATTATGTGCACTGGTCGCGAAAACTTAACAATATATATTACACAAAAACGTAACGCTAATAAAATAATAAGTAATGTATAGATACTAACAAACATACATTTCCAAAACATAAAAAGTAAACAACTAAACTTTTAATTTAATTCATTAATAAATTATTTTAGTGTTCAGCGCGACTCCCTTACCTCCTGTAGTAAATAGAAATCGGCATTTCAAGAAGCAAAAATAAATAAAGCAAAACGATGTTAGTTCTCAGAGCAATTAAGAGAAAAGTTACTTTATTTGTTGCCTCTTAAGATTGATTTAACATTAAAAGTTGTTTAATATATGTCTTTTTATTGGTAAGTGACAGGAGTAATTTATTGCTTTGCTCGTTTTATGTGACGAATGATCGTAAGTATTAGATAATTTTTTGGAGATTTGTGACTTTATTACTAGGTGCCATAGTTGTAATTAGTTTGAACGTAAAAGTGTTTCAAAACTTTTTTCTCCGTTTGTTAGTAAACGAATGTAGCTATATAAGTATATATTCACGCGGACAGTTTTTGCTTTAATTTTGTACGTATCCCTTTATCTAGTTACTATTGTTGATCGAAGGCGTGCTTACATTACAACAACAAAAGTAAATCTATACAGCGTGTTACAAAATACCCCGTAAAAAATATAATTAATTATCACAGCCAAACATTTTGTCAACCTTAGTAAACTGTCATGTCAGGGAACCAGATTATTTAACAGAAGCCACGCATGTACCTATTTTACCTAATAATTGTCTACTTTAATAATTTCATTCATAAATGATACCTCTATACAAGGATGTCATTATACTCAAGTACTTGTCGCACTTGTCAAAATGTTTGTCGTTTCGTGAATTTGGTAGAAATGCAGGTACATTCTGCGTAGTTTACTCTTTAATTTTACTCAAATAGGGTTTGCACATCAGTAAAAATAAAATTTCTTTTTTGAGGTATATTATACAGCGTTACTATGGTTCTTAAATATTGTCAATGGACTCGTTATAAGGCGCCATTTAACCTTCTTTCGGCTTTACGGGTAGTTTTGTAACACCCTGTATATATGTAGGCAAAGACAAAACATACGTATCCATTATCACATCAGTGTGCTTAATGCGAGTTTTTTAACGTTCTCGATAATGTAAAAGTTAACTCAAATTTCTAAGGAGTTGGAAAGTTTTACTACGTTTGCCGCTAGGGGCGCTGTTAAAAATTCGCACTAAGCACACTGATTGTCAATTGTTTTTGGTTCAGTGACGAACTTCAGTGTTACAAATAAAAAAATTGGAAACCGTATTTTTTTGTTATTGAAATTTTAAAGAAAGGTATAAATGACTGTAAGCCTTAACGTATCAGTAATTATGGTCGGATATCGATTATTCAGCGGACACTAATAGAATATTAAAAGCGAATATTAATTGAAAAATTCATGCTACAATCTATAAGACAATTTTAATTAAACATAAATTATATTAAAAAAATATTACACTATGAGGGGCTCACGACACGACACAACAATAAAAAAATTTGCGTTATAATTTAACCTACAAAGGCTGTTTTGAAATTATTCACATTGTTTATTTTTATTGCACAGATGGGTGGACGAGGTCATAGCCCACCTGGTATTAAGTGGTTACCGGAGCCCATAGACATCTACACCGTAAATGCCGCCACCCACCTTGACATATGAGTTCTAAGATCAATTATAATTATTGTAATTGTACAATAAATGTACTAAATAGTTAGATAAATTGTTATCTAACTATTTACCAGCAAGCCAAGCCTCTATCTACGCCATAACGGCCAATCAAACTAACTCATTCCATTGCTTGTGTATGCTACAAATCATTTTAAAATCAACTTGATTTAATAAAAAACAACCCATACTTGTATCGTTCAGTATAAACTAACTTAAAGCAGGATATCACAATCATATAAATAGCATAAACTATATTAAAATTTCGTATCAAAATCAACCATGCAGACACAACAACAAAAACGTTAAGGTTCGTTCACAACTAAACGATGTTTTGGTTTAAAATCAAACGTAAGTCAATTATCAATTTAATTTTAATTGGGATTTTTCACTTGTCGTTCCTGAGATATGATGATAAGGTAGGAGTTCCGTTAGCGATGGCATAACAAGGTTTAATTTAAGGTTTGAAACGTTTTCATCTAGTGAAACTTTATTACACTGAGAGACACTGTATTATTAAAGATGCGATCCAAGCGCCCCCTACAGATAGCGGTGCTATGTTTTTTCCTCCGCCTATTCACTGGTAGCCTATGAGGCTATTCCAGCTTCCCGCAGCAGGGTAGGTAAGCTCGCGGGCTCAACCTGAGAGAATTAGCTAACACTAGTCCTAGCAAGAACATTGCTTCGCAGAATCCAACATCGAATTGGACATTTTTAATAATGTGACTCGGATAATTTACATTATAAACTACATTACGTACGTGCTAAATTTACGTTATAAATTACAATGATCGATTTTAAATAGCATAAAAATGATTTATTCCTCGACGTGACATCGTGAGGTGTGAACGAACCGTCTAATCATTATAATTTACCGGTTTGATACGGCGGCGGACTTCGGGGAGGCGATTTTTGTATCCTAGTCGGTATGTACGCCGGGAACCCTATAACGCATTACACGGTTTATTGGATATTGGATATTGTATATAGCTGGATTGGTTCACTGGATATTGCATAGAGCGCTGGACACCTCGCAGCCGTAACGTCGGATATGCATTTATCTAATAATTATGGTTTCAAGAACAAAATCAATCTTTTATAAGTAGATCCGAGTTCGAGGCTCCGGGGGACCGTGTGGGGGGATAGTGGGGCACCGTGTGGGGTATAGTGGGGGACCGTGTGGGGTATAGTGGGGGACCGTGTGGGGTATAGTGAAAG